TTCTGCCAGGCCCCAAGCAGCCCCATATCCCGGACTCTGGGCTTCCTGCTCCTCCGACGTCCGCCGCCCGGGCGCCGATCGAGGAATCGGATCTCGAGAAGGAGCTCGAGCGCATGATGGAGGAGGCCATGGGAAAAAAGGACGCGGAGGACGCCTTCTGCGACTTTGGGGTCGGCCTTTATATCTGTGTTCTCCCTGTCTTCTCAGTGCTCTGCACCTGAATGGTCTCCCATGCCATGTCACCCCGGGTCATGCTACATCATGCCTCAAGGCTTGGACACGCTCTCTCTTTCGCTCTTTGTTTCTTGATTATTTATATTTTTCTTCCTCTATCTCTCTCTCTCTCTCTCTCTCGCTCGCTCCCTCCCTCCCTCCCTCCCTCCCTCCCCCCTCCCTCCCTCCTCTCCCCTCCCTCCCTCCCTCCCCCCACCTCCCTCCCTCCCTCTCCCCTCCCTCCCTCTCCCCTCCCTCCCTCCCCCTCCCTCCTTCCCTCCCTCCCCATCTCTCCTTTTGCGCACAAGCACATGCAACTACGAATGCCAAGAGCTCCCTGATCCCTAGTTATCGTCACAGGAGCCAGATCTTTGCACACCTCTGAAGGAGGCCTGGGTCCGGGTCTTGACCTTGCTGCAAGAGTCCTGGGGCAAGTAGCGATCTCTGAGCATCAAGACCGCCGTAGCATCCTTGTAGGTATGCGAGGCATGACGCTGATGACGCATGTGTCGTCATGGCCAGCATGAAATGCAGGGAACCTTCTCATTGCAGGTCAACCCTAAAATGAAGAACCCGCCGCTAGCCCAACAACTCAAGCTCGAAGACCATACCAAATCTCCCAAGCATCCACGGCCAGCTGACACGCCAGCGGAGGCGCGCCGCGGACCCCGGCCGGAGAAGCAGAGCCCTCCAAAAGTCAGTCCACCCAAGGAGCTGACCCTGACAGGGTCAAGCGCCTTCTGTTTCTTGGTCAGTCTTGGTTGTTTCGGCATGTTTGGGCATGTTTTGGCTTGTGTTCGGCTCTCCGGGCCGCTGGGCGTCGGTTCGCATCTGCATCGACTCGGGGAGACAAAAGCGTCAGGAGAAGGACGAGGACGAAACCCGCCCCGGACTCAAGGCTTTGCGGGGTTTTCTCTTTCGGATTCGACGGCTCTGTGGTGCTCTGGCTGCGGGGCGGCTTCGGCATCCTTGGTCCCTGAATCTTGAGGCTCGTGTTGCAGGGAGTCTCGTTGAGGAAGTTCAGGGTTGGCGAGCTTGGTGCAAACCCTGTGTTCCAGACATTTCCAGGCCTGACCAGCTGCTCATACTGGTCTCAAATCATCCCAGGCTGACAGCACCTGAACCTGACCCTCTGTTGACCGGGTCGATTCCTGGAAGACGCAAGCCTGCACGCTGATCGGAGCACAATCGTCACGAACCCCGTTTGTTCTAGACCCACTGCTTGTTGCTTGGGCAACGCTGCAACACTCTGAATGATGTCACGAGGATTGCCCATCTGATTGTAACAATACATTGCTACTCAAGCAGCGCAGCCACAAGACATTGTTGCTACTCTTTGCTTTTTCTACACGCACTGCCAACTTCGCGATCGTGTAAGGTTACACAGAAGACCGGGAGGGCAACAAAGTCTACAAGTGGAAGGCCAGTTTCTGTTACATTCGGGGCTTGTGCGCTCAGACTGTGGGCGAAAGGCCGAGGCATTACAAGAGGGTTGGTTAGGGCAGCACACTCAGTACGGCTGAAAGGAAGGCATCTCAAAACGACATTTCCTTTGCAGGTGGTTAGCCTTGGCTGTAGTTGAATCTTTCAGGCTTTGGCTTATTGCAATGATGGAAGTCTCTCAGGGGAATGGGAGCTCATATGCGAGTTCTGTCCAGGTCGAGTACGCCTCGCGTGCAGGGGGTGGCCGCGCAATGCCACCTGGCTGCCAAAAATCACCTCTGTCGTGGGTGCATTGGGCATTGGGTGCAATCTGGTCAGCCCTTCGGCTTGTCCTGCATTGCCTCGTTCTTTGCAGATCGAAAAAATCTGAGGTGCCGGGACTCTAACTGCCTGGAGAGATGCGAGCAGGCCGGCTGCATCAGTGGGGGGGGGGGCAGTGCCCAGGCGCCGATGAAGACCCTGTGTCACCTTTACTTCACATACCGGAGCAGCGAGACATGCAGGCATGCAATATGTGGAGTATTTATGCTGACTCAACTCATCTGCATTGGGTTCACCAGTCCCCCTGGCCTCCGAAGGCAAGTACCTCGGGGCCTCTTAGGATGATACTTGCACAAGGAAACAAGTGCGCTACAGGATCTCCCAAGCTATCGCTGCCTCGAAGAGACTCAAGCCTCTCTCCTTCATTTTTTTGGATACTAATCGTTTACCGCTCCGTTGTCCAATATAATTGAACGTTCTCGATGGAGAGTGTCCAACATACACCCTCGCAGCTCATACACCTTAACTCCATTTGCTACAGCAGATCGAATGTTCTAGCCAACGCCTGGCCACCTTGACCTAGGACTCGAAATGAGTCCAGCCTCCATCCTTGCAGTTACTGGCCACCTCCTCCGTCACACAGACGATTGGGAGTACATCAGCACGTTTCGTAGATCTCCGGCTTGTCACCACACCACCGGACATGCTCCTCTACACGACCCAGACTACTTGGCGGGAGAATCTTGCCTCACAGAGACCCCTGTACTTTCATTGATCATGATTACTTTTCTTTCCAAGCCTCAGTGACGTACGACGGAGACAATCCTCTTAGTCGGTATGGAGAACACTCCATGCATGAGGTTTTTGCACAGCTGCGAGAGACAAAGTCCTATGGCACCAGCCAATATTCCCAGTTCTGCATCTTTCAATTAGAATTGTAAACGCTTGCGCGCCCCGCCTCGAAAGACGGGCCGGCCCACGGACAGGAAAGGAGGAAAGAGGGTTTCTGGGAAAGGCCTCAACAAAAGGGGAGGGGGGGATCCGGGTCTGCTTGTTCCAGACGCTTCTCGGCAGGAAGCCGAGGCGAACTTAGATAGCTGCAGCTGGCAAAGCGTCTGTTTCACGCAGTTTGCAGTCGGTGCCGATATGGGCACTTAGAGTTCCTAGTGCGGTTTAAAAAGTAAACCCATGCAAACCTTAAACCCTGAAACCTTAAGGCTTACATCCTACCCAAAACTTCTGTTGACTCGCTCTTTCCTTTCCTGCGCAGCTGTGCTTCTTCGCCATGTTGGTTTGTTGTTGATGCAGGCTCATGCAGGGTTTTCTTTCTCTGACGGGCTGTCGCCCACAGCCGGCTGCCGAAAACAAGCAGACCAGGAGTTATCTTCTGGGCTGTCGCCCACAGCCGGCAACACCCCAAAGCAGATGAGGATATAGGTATGGGTTCGTTTTACAACCGCAGCAGCTGCAACAGCAGCAACGACAAGAACAACAGTGCCCCGTTGCCGATGCCTCTGTCTCTGAGCATGCTTCAAGTTCGTGATCCCAGCGCAGGCCGGCGTGGCCATCATCGAGAAGGGCTCACTTCGCATCGGCCGGCGCGTTTTGCCCAAAGACGTCTGGACCTCAGGTGTTTGTTTCGTGTGGTTGGTGGATTTGTGGGCTTCAGTGATTCAGGTTCAACTCGTTGGTTCGGTCCACGGTAGCTTGATGCAGCTTGTGCAAGGTGTGTGAAGTGCTTCTGGCCTCTCTGCGAGTCAAAAAAAGAAAGGTCGACACAATCCTCACCCGCAGCCTGAACCCGTCCGTGCGGTTGTTTGACAGAGGAGAGACTTGTTCTTGTAGCACGCAGACGGTGGCCGATTGCGAACGAGACAAGATGAGAAGTTTGAGAGCTGCTGGTCTGCGGGTGCGAGCGTAGTTAGAGCAAAGGTCCTCGGCCCACGCAAGCGTGTAGTGATACTTTTATGGTGATGGCTTCGCTGCAAACTTGTGGACCTCAACGTACAGAGTAGTGGAACCAGGGAGACATGATGATTCTCTGGCCTGAGCCCGAGTTGTGGACACTGGGCAGTTGAATAACGGCAAGTTAACGTGAGTCTACACGGACGTTGTTGTCCGGAATGCCATGGAAGGTCCATACTGCAATGTTTCCAAGACGAACCAAATGCAGTCGGTGTTTAGGCGCCCGCTAAAGCTGGACACAGTTGGCAGTTTCTCATTGGAACTGCGAGGTCACTTTCTGGGCTTAAACCCATATCCTATACATCGAGCAAACAACCGTCCCATGTCGCAGCTTTGACTGGTTCATGGGTTTTGACGTTTAGACTCATGTCACGGTGTAGGGTAAGACTCAGAAAAACCGGGACGGGCAGCATTCAGGATTTCACATCTAGTGTTTTTTTAGGGAACTGTGTTTCAGGTTGCTGTGGGTTGAGGGAGGGGTATGGGGTGTCGGGAACTATGGGTGAGACGGGACGTTCGCTTAATCGGATTCTGCATAAGTGGCAGCTGCGGATTGCAACCGTCGCAACTTCCATGGCTTGAGGTTAGGCAGTTGTATCCAGCCCCAAGACCCACTGCCACTTGATATTCGTCATTTTCTCGAAACTGCCCTCACCCTGAAACCACCCTGATTGGTGGAGTAGCTGTGGCACCCTAACTCCCAGACTCTCACTTTCAAGGGGTGCCCTGACATGGACCCAAGCCCTAGATTCTCAATCGCAAGTCCTGCCCATTTGTTGCCACCTGTGCGGAATGTCGTGCCTTGGTCCGGGATGGTCAGCACAGGTGGGCCTCTGACAAGCTCAGTTCGGTAAATCCTGCTACGTGTGGGCATTGAAATTGAGGATTGTGCGCAATTTAGGGGGCATGGGTTCTTCTCTAAGCGTTGTCTCTAACCCACGAGGTTCAACCCTGTCTGTACTTGAACCTTTCCAGACCATGTGTTGCCGAACGCAACTGTCTGGTTGCAGCAAAGGTCAGCAAAGCCTTAGTTGTTCAAATAAGGTTTACCATGTTGAACCTTCCAGACCCTTACCAACACGGCATTGCAACTGGAGATGAGCGACTTTGCAGGCAGGATGGACTCCGGGGTCCACTGTGCCCAGTTCGCCTATGCGACCCCGCCGAAGAAGATTAGCTGCGGAATTCATCACAGTGCCCTGGCGGTGGGGGGGAGACATGGGGAGACCCAATTTCGCTTTTGGCGAGGCTGTTGTGATTTGCGACCCTGAACCGGCCCCAACCTTGCCGAGGTGTTAGCATCTCCAACCTGTCTTCTCCCGGCGAGTACCTGTACGATTCACATGCCCCAATCGTCTACGGCTGGGGCCGCAATGTTTACAGCGTGATTGGCCTGGGCGAGGAGGTGCGCTCTGCGAATGTACCCGCGCACGTCCGTTGCCCAGACTTCGAGGCACTGCCTGGAGTGTATGAAGTTGCTTGCGGCCACAGCCACACGCTCTTCTTGCGAAAGACCGCTGATGGCGGCGGTGAGGTCTACGGCTGTGGGTTGGGGAACCGAGGGCGGCAAGGCTACCGAAACCCCGATGCGGACGAGGACGACACACCTGAGGTCGAAGATATCTGGTACGTCACCAGCCCGAAGCCCATTCCAATCGGAAGAGGAGTCCCTGTCGTGCGCATTGTTTGTGGTTCGGATCACAGCATGGTGCTGGACGCGCATGGCTTCCTCTACGCGTGCCTTGGACCGAAAAGCCTTATGTTTCAACGCCAAGGCCGAACATGAACTGCCCAATAAGGGGCAAGTTAGCAAACCCTTCACCGGCGTCAGTCCTCTTTTTCAGTGACTTTGATTTCTGACACGGCAGACAGGTGCTGAGGTGCTGAGGATGGGGGGTTCCCCTTGTGGGTTGTGACGCTGGAAGTTTGTGGTGTAGAGGGATTCCCAAAGCCCCTACCTAAACATCAGAAGTATCCACGAGATTGGCTAGGCAACGGTCGTCTGTCTTCTCCCCCTTGCCCCCTACAGGACAAAGTTTCAGGGTTTGGTTTGGGGAGTTTAGGATTCGGTAAGGCCCAGCCTCCAACCCCAATGCATCCAATAACAACAAAAAACAGGTGGGGCCAGAATGGAAGCGGTCAGTGCGGTGTGGGACGCACCGGCGACGTCTTGTCGGCGCAACGTGTGGTGTTGCCAACTGTCAAAGGGGGCCAGGTCGGCTTGAGCGTGCCGTTAGGTTTTTGTACGTTGGTCGTTCAGGGATGGAGACGTCACGGCAGCATGGCGACTTGAAGCTTGCTTTGTGCACACCGCTCTGCTTTCATCCTGTAGCCGGACACTGCTCTGCCATGTCGTCAAATGCACAGGCTATGCGCCAAGGCTTGCCTTCAGTTCTGTCGGCACCCTTGTTCCCAGAGCCCTCTCCCCTGTGAGGTTTTGGTTGCCCATATGGCTGCTGGCAGCCACCATTCCCTCTTCGTCAGCGCCAAGGAAGTCTTGAGAGATTGCATGCCTCAGGGCTCGGAAACATATGTTAAGAGCACGGCGGTTTCTGCGGATCTCGCAGAACTGCCACAATCCCTCGACCTGGCCCCACCCTTCGTAGATCCCAAACTCCGTGCGCGCCAGGACGGAAACGTGGGCAGCACGGCAGGCTGGGGGTAAAGCCATGGGGGCCTCATCATTGCGCTGCTGCTCAGTGCTTCTCCAGTTGCTTCTCACCTGTGCCAGGTGGGAAGGTCTACGTCTGGGGCTCCAACGCCGAAGGTCAGGGTCAACCAGTCCATTTGGCCCACGTGACCCCAGCTACCTCTTTGCATCAAGCTTCCTCAGGAGTGAAGGGTTGGCACTGCCATTACAGTGTCTTTTCCTTTACAGCCCTCCATGATGTCTCCTGTCACTCTCGTCCACAAGCTCTGTCCAAGTTGGACGATGTGCCTCTTAGCCTGTCGCCTGCGAAGCTGAAGCTCGAAGTGTAAAGCATCTTAAGGATCTGCACACCTATCTCAGTCCAAAAAGTGAAAGTACCACACCCCAGTCGCCCTGTGATACAGGGCGACTGGGCCTGGGTCATGATGAAGACCAGCTGTCTCCGATCCTCGTCCCTTGGTCTGAAGCTGCTAAACCGGTCCGATTTTGTGGAGTTGGTGCTAATGCGAGGGAGACTAGGGAGTCTAGGGCGGCGAGGCTAGGGCAGTAGAAGCCGGAGCTTGTTGCGAAGCGAGGCTTGCAGAGGTTGTGTGAGTGCTGCGTGGTACAGAATGCCTTCAAAAGCTTCAAGAAACTCTCAGGTCGAGGCTCTGCAGACGACGAAGGTTGCCTTGGCGGCTGCCGGAGAAGCGCACACTGGTGTGGTGGACATGAACGGAGCCTCGGACGGTTTTTGTCGTATTTAGAGCATCTCATGAAAGCCGTTTGAGGCCTCAACCCCATGTCCTCGAACTTGAGCTCTCCCCAATTTTTTCTGCAGCATCCGTGATGGGTTCCATGAGGTCAGAAGTCCGCACCTTCGAAGTCCACACCCCAAGAAGCCAAGAACCTTCAGTCGTTGAGTCCTCCCGAAGCCTTCGGTGAGGTGGCCTTTGGATGTGGGGCCAGGGCTCCTACGGTCGTCTGGGATTGGGGGAGCCCATTGACGTGCCGCTGCCAAGGAGGCCAGAGGGTGTGGGCAAGCTAGGATCGCCACATTCCCGAAACGTTAGATGGCGGCTTTGGGTACCACTCCAGGGATGTGCTTTGGGGATGTCCAGCTGTCGAGAAAGGCTGTCACGTGCAGACTCACTCCAGTCAAAGTCACAGCATCCGAGACCAGATGAAGTGTGCCAGGATACCGATCCCAGAAGAGCTTCCAGCAACTCGACTGCACAGTGCGATGAACGCCTGGCCTTGGAACTGAAGTCTGGGGTGGACAACGTGACCCAGTCATTGCTAAAGAGATCGTGACGCGTCAGCGAAGCGCCCGCGAAGCATCCGCGTAGAGTTGTGCACAAACATGCGTTTGGGCATTGTTGGTGAGGGATCCGTGGCACTGCTGTTGTTGCGGAATCCTGCTTTTGGGCATTGTGCGGCTTCCGGCTTAGTGCCAATTCGCTGAACTGTGTACACCCGTCAGCTGGTGAAAACAGGCTTCTTAGATGGATGCAAAAATGGCAGTTTGTTTCGGGGTTCAGAGATGACAGATGCGGGAGTTTCACCCATACATCCCGAAGCCCTCGCACGGAATCGTCGCCAGGTCATGCAGCTGGCGCTGGGGAGCTTCCACAGCGTGGCGCTTGTGGGCACTGGTCGGAGCCAAGCGCTTTACACCTGGGGCTCCACGGCTGCTTAAGGTCCGAAGATGTCAAGGTTACTCACTCATGTTGAGCAAGGGGCATCTAGTCCCGATGCTGCCAAGGCTATGGCGAAGCTTTGGGGAACAAGGCAGGTCGTTCTGGACATGGCAGCTGAGAACATGCTACCTCAAGCTTGAAGGCCTTGCCTCCAGATGCCTCCAAGTCCTACCCATTTCCTGAGGATAGACATAGCTGAGCCGCCTTGTGACATGCGTATTGTTATACAAGTTATACGTGTGTGCACAGATGATCAGCTGTTCATGCAGGAGGTCGGTGGTGCAGGTCGTGTGGAATTTGTTCAGTCGGTACTTCGCTGAGCATGTGTGCAAAGCCCTTTGAAAGCATGGAAGTTTCATGTAAGCCACGACAGGTGGGCGGCGGAGTCTCACCTTCTCCGTTGGTTGTCGTGCTGGAGGAGCTCAGCTGCCTGCTTGGAAATCTCGGGGCTAAGGCTTTTTTGGATCGAGTGGAAATCGTGCTACTCGTATATGTCCACAGAGAGATCCTAGCGAGGACCGACAGCATGCAACAAAGGCTTAAGATGAAGTGATGAGGCGAGCTTTACACAAGCCTCTTGCCCCAGCCCCTGCTCACTGCCCAGGCAAGGTGCAGGTCTTGCAAATTGCCGCTGGACCCTATCACACCTTGGACGCTGGGATCGAATTTGCTCAGGGCTGGTTTGGAAATCGTGCTGGGGTAGGCCATCTTACATGGGACCAGTGTTGTGAACAAGTTTTCGCTGTGATGCTATTCTTTCTCTGGCCTCCTTCACGCACTACCATGTGAACTGAGCCGAGCTACTTTACCATTCGCAGGAACATGCAGAAGCAATGATTGTGCAGTCCATGTCCATATGTAGAGTACATACTTTCATGGTTGTGTGTTAGGCACGAGTGTTCGGCTTCCACTGAGAGGTCATGATGGAGGATGGGGAGCTCATCTCATTTGGCCAGGGCTCCTCCGGCCGGTTGGGCACAGGCCAAAGCCCCAAACCCAACCAACGGAACTGACCGAGCTTTGTGCCATCCTGAGCCAGAGCTAGCCTGTAGCTGATCGCGTTTGGCTTGGGGTTCAGGTTGTGGTCTCAGGTTGTGGTCTTACATTGCTTCATGTTCTTTCCGCAAGTGTCCTGCGATTCACTCGGAAGAGCTTGTGAGCTGCTGAGCTGCTGAGCTCCTTTTGTAAACAGCTCAAAGCAGCTCCCATGTGATGCTTGTGAGCCCCAAAAGCCTGCCCAAGGGCCCCGAGACCTTGTGAAGAGATCGGAGCAAGTGGAGGGGGAGCCCCGAAGTCCCAAACCCCTTCCGTCGCCGCAGGGGCCTCGAAGAACCAGAAGTTGCCGGTGAAACTGCCAGGGGCCGCTGGCTTTGCCACGAAGCTGCGCAACCCAGACAGGCGCCTGATGGGGCCGCACGGGTGCCAGGGGTGTGCAGGTCTTCAAGTTTGACTGGCTGTGATGGCTTCGAAGGGGTCTCCGTAGCTCTCAACAAGAGCTCCCGAAAGCCCAATGACTCAGCCGCTCGGAACGAACCAAAAGCCTTACAATCACGAAGATTGACAGGTCTGGCGAGGCTTCGCAGCCACGGTCTCCAAGCAATGTGCAGAAGAGGACGTGGGGGCGGCTTTTCTTCCGGTTAGGCAGGTGGAAGCCCTGCAAAGCCAAAGAGTACGGTGGAACCGCAAGCGCCAACTGCCACTGCCCTCGAGAAGCTCTGCAGGAATCTGGATGACCCCTCAGAGCGCTCCATGATGCTCGGATGCAAGCTGCTGCTCACAGGGGTTTGATGGATTCCGGGGTTGTCACGGCATACTTGCAACCCACATCTGCCGCATACTCGAGGGATGAGGGTTCAAAGGTCTTGTAGGTCTGACTCGGAACATGGATAAAATGGTCAAGCCAAGCATCCTATGAACTTCGGCCACTTGACTACCGTGCTCGCCACCGAGTGAGCTTGAAGTTGCCTCACCTTGGTCAAACACCCTCACCCACCCGAACTTGTAGCTTTAGCCCCCCAACCCCACTAAAGCCGAGCCAAGCCGGAAGGAAGCGCACGGCTGGCACCAGTGCCGTGGGCAACGGGAAGCAGGGCTGGGAGATCGCCCAGCTAGAGTGCCGCTCTGGCCGCCTCTGGCCTGGGGTTTTCTGGCCTGGGGTTTTCCGCATTGTATTTCTCCTCTGATCCAGTAGACGTGTAAACTTGTCCTTTTGGGGATTTGAAGGGGGTTCTCAGGGAGCAGAGCTTCGGATTGAGGGAGTCCGGGCAGGGTGGTGGCGAAAGCCTGGGAAGCGGCTCTTCAGCTTTTTGGAAGTTATGCCAGGTTGTTGCAAAGTGGAAGCAAAACTCCCCTCACGTAACCACATATGATCCTGAAGGCCGATTCAGATTTTAAAAGTAGGGTTTCCCATTTCCCACTGAAGGCCATCGACCACAGCCCGCAACAGACTTCACGCTTGAAGTGGGGTACCCACAGCTGGCAGCAACTGAGGTGGCGATATGTTCACGGCCGCCGTATCATGGCAGGGCGCGTTCTCCGTCGAAAGGTTCAGATCGTTGTTTCGGTCTTCCTTTTCTGTAGGGAACAGGTCATGTCTGCAGGCTCTCGACCAGCCGATGCCCCCCCCCCCCCCCAGGCATTCTCAACTCCCCTGTCGAGCTCGACGTATCCCAGGCTCTACACCTGGGGCTCTGGGGCCCGTGGGCAGCTGGGCACTGGGAGCCTCCAGGACTTCCGGAGGGTTTAGACTGTCGAAGCCGGGAGAGTTGTGGATGTTGTGGGGCAGGCACTTCTGTGCCGTCGGTGCTGTTGCTTTTGGTGTTCTTGGGCTGTTTCACGAAGTGGCCGCAACCTGCCAACCACGCTTTGCAGGACAGCTGGGTGCCGAAGGTCAGGATCTGATTTGTCACAACTAGACTCAGCTAGACATCATGCGCTTTACTTCGTGCTTCGAGCTGGGTTGGCAGCTGCCCAGCCAGACCCAAAACCCTTGTGTGTAAATCGAAGCCCCAGACCCTGTTCCAAAGCCCCAGTTCCAACGGCTTTTCAAGGCAGTCCGCTTTCCATCCGGTCGGCTAGTTCGATCCATTGCCTGTGGGAGGGAGCACTGCGCTCTTCGGCAGCTTGCGTTGGCTTTGCAGGGTCGCACTAGCATTTAAGACAGGCACCCACAAGACAAGGTGTAGCTACCCTGGCCCAAAAGCTGCCTCGCCTGAAAACCCCCAGAGGCTTAGCGACAAACTAACCCCGGTGAGAGACGCGCCCACATGCCAGCATTCTTCCATATTCTGCTCCGTGTTCGAACATCATGGCAAAACGAAGGTTGCCATCACCTATGACGGCAATGCTTACGCTTGGGGAAAGGGAGACAAGGCCCTTGGAGCCTTCGAACTTTTTTATTCGGGAAACTCTCCAGTAGTCTCCAGGCTCAGTAACACTTGGGGCTTGAGGTCCGAGTCTGGGATGAAATGCTTACCGTAAAACGCTTCTCATTGGAGGATAGGGGTACTACGATTCTTGCATTCCTGGGCTCAGGAGGCTTCCTTTTCCAGATGCACTCACTCACGATTGACGACAACTGGTCGGTCAGATATTCACTTCCCTGAAAACCACGGTTTGGAGAAATGCTGCACATGGTCCGATTCTTGTCTTAACGGTCACTACAGACCTTGAACACAAACCTTGGACTTGGACTCCTCAGAAAAGAGCCCTATGCCCAAAAGCATCGTAAAAGCAAAAGCCTTCAACCCTCAACTCCCGCTGCATGCTAACTGCGCTGCGGGCCCGCTCGTAAAGAAAACTGAAGCCTACATACCTCCACAATCTTCCATGCTAAACGCGCTCGAGCTACACTACACCAATGCCTCGAAGCCTTCTTGCCCTGAAGGGACAGCTGGGTGTGGGTCGAAACGAGGATACAGCGGTGCCACGACGCGATGCCGCAACTGGTTTTGGGGGGCTTCAAGTTTTCGGGTTATGCGGGTTGCTGGGCTTTGACTCGAGGTCCCTTGCTTCTGAAGCGCTGAGGCCCTGTCATCCCAAGAAGTGTTGTATGCACCCTTGAGGAGTCAAATCACTTGCCGTAGAGATTTGTAAAGCCTGCCTGGCTGCGAGTCCATGCCTGTTATGAGCCACTTTCTATACGATTCTATACTACATCACACAGACCAGCATATACCAGCTTCTGTAGAGCATCAGACATTCTGCTCAAAATTTGGAGCAACTCGGCCCGAAGCATGAATAACGACGAGCAGCAATCAGGTCCGATGCTAAAAGCGGTTGACCAAAATCGCCTCCAATGTCGGAACTCAAAGGCCCAAGTGAGCTACAAAGTCACTAGCGCCCCCATTGACAATCGGATTTCTCAGGGCTGGTTCAGGGCATCGCCGATGTTCTCCTTTGTGCTGCGGGGGAGGCCAGGGGTGGGCTGTACCTGTTGGGGAACCCGCCAGCTGAACTCTCTGAATTGTCTAAACTTGCAGGACCACACGGGTGCCATTTGTCGTGGCGAAGACGACAATGAGCTGCCGCTTTGCCGAAGGGCTTTTTGGGGCCTAGCGCGAGGTAGGGATGGCAGCCTTTTTTCGGCGTGGCACTTGGGCCCCCCCTGTCCCTGAAAAGCAAGTCAAGAAGAGCCCTGCCAAGCTGGGGGGGGGACTCTTGAGACGGCGATGCCCGGCCTCTGGAAAGGGGGCGTTGAATCCCACCAGCGTATGAGGAAGTTCTGTGGGCCACGATGAGTTCTGAATCCCAGGTACATGTGGGGTTCCTCCGAGATGGGAAAGCTGGGCCTGGGTGCTGCCGGCCTCTCCTCCACCGACTCGCCACCTGTGGTCGTCAAGGCTGGGAGTCAAACCTCCTCAAAAACTCTCGCAACCCCAGCAGAGACTAAGCGACAACGGCGACAACACACATCTCTTTAGAATCTCAGATGCGCTGCTTCACCGTGCCTTTTGAGAGTGTGCGCTTTCGCCGGCGACGCCTTCTTCTCATCTTTAGGTGTTGTGCTCAGGGCCTCAAGACACTGAGAGCAAGCGGGATGTCAAACGTGTTGCCGGCAGGCGTTCTCGAAGGCTGACAACCCCTATCGCGCGTCTCGGGCTTCGACTTGGGTGCATGTTGGAAGTTATAAGACATTGTACGTGCGTGTTGGCCTCGGCCCATCTAGAACATCCATGTTGAAGAAGGTCAGGGCCGGAATCGAGAGATAAAGAGGCCTGAGGGGTTGGGGCTTGGGTTGAGAGCGTCTTTCACCGGGGATTTTAAGGGAGTGTGCCGCTGTAAACCCTAAGGCCCCGGGATCCCGTTGAAGGTTTGTCCCGTGAGGTTTCGGTTTCTTCATTCAACCTCCAACATAAAGCGAACAGGCAAAGGATATAGAGCTGGACGCAATGAGAGCCGGAGGCGCTTGTTAGAAAGCTTCCTTGAGCCGCAAACGCAAGGTTCCTGTGGCCCTCAGCTGCGGTCAGTACCACACGGCGGTGGTTTGTGCACGGGAAGGCTCTGAGGACCAGCTGGTTCGAGCGCGGCTCAGGGGTTGTGTAGGACTGTGATGGAAGCTTCTTTGGGCACTGCTCCGGTGATGCATGTTGGTACGGCAACTGCAAGAGGGCCCTCCACAAACCCTTCTGCAAGGAGGAGAAGATCGCAGGGCGCCCCTTGGCAGAAGTTGGACACCTCAAGGCTCAAAAAAGTTTTGAAAGTACAGAAGAGAAGCTTGTCATCTCTCTCAGGTTGGCCTTATTTCCTATGCTGATATCTACAGCACATTTTTTTGCCCCGCAACCTCGAGCCTACATCATAAAGAACTCACTTGGGGTCTGACAGAGGAGTCTCTGTGTATTGAAAAGGTTACAGAGCCTCCTCGCAGGTTCCTCCATACGTCTGGTGATGTCAGGGAGCTGCCGATGCATTCCTCTCTTCCTTCTCCGCAACTCTGCCAAGCTTCTCAAAACTTCCGAATGCTCGGTTGATTTGCGACCCAAGCGCCTCGAGGTGTCTGGACTTTCGGTGGCGGCTGGTACGGCCGCCTCGGACACAACGACATGGACCTTTGGAGCACAAGGTGTATGGGATTGCCAGGATCGGGACCTTAGGTTGGGGTGCCTTGAAGTGACATGTGGGCGCAGAGAGCAAACGGAGGTGTTAGCGTAGACGTTGGCGACATACACGACTTATCATGAGTTGCCAGAATTCATGGAGCGTTGATGCTTGACCACCTCCCCGCGGTTTCGTTCTGAGGAAAACCAGTTTGAGCCCAAGCTCGTGCAGAGCTTGCTGACACGTGTGCGCTCAGTGCATTGTGGTGCCTACCATACATGCTCTTTGGCTGGACATGGCAGTTGCAAAGTGGTACCTTGCAGTTCATGGTCTGCTCACAGAAGAGTTTATTGCCAAGTCTGTCGTGTCCTTTTGAGCTCTTCGGCCGTCTGGGTGCATGCTTCGGTCGCCTGCTGCAGCTAAAGACTCGCTCACACATTGCCCCCCCCCCCCCCCCCCCCCCGTGTTTTAGGGCATCATGATCACAGGTCCCATCATGAGAGCCACAACCCAGCCGAGTTGTGCAAAAGCCTCGAGCTGCTCCCAGGTGCCCTCAGCTACGAGAAGGGGGTGGTCAACGACAACGGCGAGCCCGCTGGTGACCTGTGGGCCGCGGAGCTTGGAATGTAGTGGACTGTGACTTAGTTAGTTTCGGGCTGTCAGCTGTGTGGGACGTTCAAATGAAGTTTGGATTTGGGCTCAGGGTCTTTAGCGGATTGAGTTGGCCTTGCGACTGCTTCTGATTGGTTAGGCTCACGGCTTGTATTTTGGGCCCTCAGCACTCTTACGGCGTTTAGAGCGGCACTCATGATCAAAAGCAAATGGACATTCAATGCCCGAGACACGAATCTTGAGGTCTGGGGCCGAGGGCGTTGTATCGGAGAGCACGAACATGCGAAGGCCCTCGGGCTTCGGACGGCTTTGGATTCTGGAGTCTGTAAGTTTTGAAGGCTTAGGATTTCAGGGTTTTGCAGGTCGGCACATGGCGATGATGGTCTGTAAAGGTGGTAGGGTTCTGAAATCAGAATCCAGCGTTCAGAACCACATGCTCGCTGCTAGGGTATGGAGACGTATTCAGCCTCTAGCTGCAATCGCTAAGTGTGAAGCCCGCTCAAGAAGTCCGAGTTCCACTTACGCGCCACAACCCCCAGAAACCAAATAACTCAACATGCAAAGCCTGTAGCAGAGAAATGACAGACCGTGTTCTGCCTCGGGTCGTCAGTCGTGTCGGGAAAGGTGCCAATCAAGTTCATGCAGATCGACGGCCAACCAAAGGTGACGTGCGTGGTACGAGCCTCATCGAGTCCCATTTTCATGTCCGTTCACAACACTTGCTTTCAAGCATGCCGCGAGCACTTTTGAAGGGATTTAGGTGCAAAACGTGGATTCTTAGAGGCACCCTTCAGTTCGGGACGTGCGGTTGCAATTTTGCAAAGCAGTCAGTGTCGGAAGCGTATTGTGCGGTCGCCGCATCGGAGCTGAGATGCTTTCACCCTTGCACCCAGCATGCAAAGCCGATGCAGCTCGGCCCCCCTAAGGCAACCTCCGACTTGACAAACATGATCGTCACTTCAGCAGGCTGCCACGTGTTTATGCTGGTGAATAGAATTTTTGTGGCGGTTGGTTCAGACGAGCATGGGATGACCAAGCAGCCCACAGTGCACTGATTGAAGAGGGAGAGACATTGCGCCGGCAGGCCTGGTCTATGCATGGGGTGACAACCGGAGTGGCCAGATCGGGCTTGATGGCGGTCGCAAGGAGCCAGAAAAGGGACGGAGGACTTCATTGTCTGGGGTGGTTCAGCATCTTGAGTCCAGGGCGAAGGCTTCATCTGCGCAACTGTCAGTCAGATGTCAGTGGTCCTGGACAGTCTCCTTCTGCCCTAGTATCAGCAAAGTTATTGCTGATCAGCCCCGTGCCCGGGAAACTTCTCCTGTTTGCAGACCCCTTCAACAATCGCTGGACACTGTTTAAAGCCGGCAGACTTGGCTGTTTCGGGGGGCCCCAACAAGGGTGGAGCTCCGTCTCATGTTCCGGAGCACTTGGGCAGGAGTCGCCGCAGCCGGAAATCATACGCGGCTTGGCCGGATCGTTGCGGTCGGGGAAGATGATATGCAAGAGGACAGAAATTGCCCATGAGCATGTGTCGCGAACAGCTGTGCTGGCTGTGCTCGGAGTCGTCTCACACGTATCTGATGCTACCATAAACCTTGAACTGCAAGCCTTGACCTTGCCCTAAATCGGGTCCAATTTGTATGTTCTTGCACTGCACGCAGAACCCCGCTCAGCATCTCAGGAAATTTGCCTCAGCCTCCGATCCTGATGTGCGCTGGCCCCGCACACATGGCGATCTACGGCCGGAACAAGGCCGCGGGAGCCTGCGATGTGGGCGTGGGGTTTGCATCGCAGACAGAAGGTGGACATCGATGTGTTTTGTGTTGGTCTTTTTTAAGGGGAGTTGAGGCCACGCCTTATCGAAGCGTCTGCATGTCGACGTCCAACATCCAGCCAGAAGGGGTCAGTGCCTTCAGCCAAGCACCTGCAAGACAAGAAATCACAAACATGCCAGGTGATGATGGCTTGGGGCAACCAAAGCTGTGGGCGTCTGGGCCTCCAGGAGAAGAAGATGGAGAAGGTGCATTTGGACTCTTAGACTCTTAGAGACCTCAGCCTCCATCCTCCTCCATAGCTTAGTCATGGAGCCTTGGCATGGTACTCGTGTCCAAAGATTTGGAGAGCCAAAATCAGCATCTCAAAAAGCCCAGCAGCAGAGGCTCAGCTTTGCCAACTTTGGGTTGTCGCAACAACGAGGGTTTCTGAGCAAGATGCCCAGATTTCCGCTGTTTTTTCCAAACTGGAAGCTTCTTCCAGACTGCGAAAGTAGCCAAGAAGGTGATCTTCAAGCCACGGGTCGTCCGAGCAGAGTGGGCCTCCATCGAGGCCCTGGGCGGCACGGAGGCCGAAGAGGAAGGAGGTGCCCCAGCGGCCAAAGGTCAAGACTCTGAGAGCCAGTGTAAGCCATGTTGGACTTTTGGCAAATGTGTCTCCACGGTTTCTGATTGCTTGGGGTTCTGGCCTTGAGCACGACCTCCCGAAGCCCCGCTCGCAGCTTCAGGAGACAAGAAGAAGGTGACGGCAGCAGCGCTGGCCACGTTGGGTGACGACTCGATCTCGAAGGATCGCATGGGTTGTTCGTCCCTGTTGCGGATTGCAGCCATGGCAAGCAGAACTGAGGCCGCACGCCGCACGCCGCACGCCCCATAAAGCCCTGAAGCGCTAATGGGCTCTCCTCATCTAATCCATCCGAAGCCTTGGAGTGATGAGTGCTGGTCCACTGGTGTAGCTCGACAGGATATCAACGAGAGTGTCATCAGCGAGGGCTCCTCTGTGAATTTCGACGAGGCGCCTGCGTGCGGGGTGCCATGCTTTGTCGGGTTTACACAGGGGCTTCGGGCTTGCCAAAGAGAGGCGGCTTCGAACCAGAGCCCTCCGCAAAAGCCCTGACCAAAGTCGTGAACCCCGGGGCATATTTTCGAGTACACGTCCTCGCTCCCCATGTCGTGCCCGCGCTTAGCATGCAGGGGGAAGCCGGCGAGATGAGTACGAAAGCCAATCTTCTCCATGCGTTCACCTCAGGCCTGTGGCATGGTGGCTTTGGGCTGAGCGATGCTAGTTCGGCAGTTCAACTGTTGCACAAAAGGAGTTCAGGCCAAATCAGAATGAAAATCTAGGAGCGTCAACGGCCCGGGCTCAGTGACCCAGTGTTTTGCAATATGACGCTGATTGCCGAGCGGTGAGGACAGAAGGTCCAGCGCTTCTCGACGATGCAGACACTCGGATGTGTGAGTTCAGTTTAGGGGCTGTTGCAAATGGACAGGGATGCGGCAGTTCTTGCTGGTTCATGCGGGCTACGAGTGTGTGTTGTGTCAATGCCCATTTCGGCGCCTGTATGTGCGATCGGCTACTTGGATCGAATGTCCAAAATGCCATGACGGTTCCGTAACAGTCCCAACTCAGGACCATGTTGAAAGAGGAGCCGGACAGCAACAAGATGGGTGACCTGGCCTGACGTCCCAGCTCGAGGTGTTATTGGTTTGACGGGTGAGTGGTTGCATGACATGCCTGCGAGGAAGCCGTTGGGCCCACAAAAAACAGGTTCCGAGATGTTCCGAGGTGGAAGGTCTTGTCACGGCTTCATGTCATTAAACCACACAGCGCCCTGTAAACGTCGCGATTGCTGTGAGCCAGCAGCAAACAACTCACAAAAAATCGGTTTCACAAAGGCTCGTTTGGAGCTCTGGAACTCTGATGAGCTTTAGTTGGAAGATACGTGGTGCTTGCTGTGCGAAAGCCATTTTCTCTGGTGCCCCTTGGCACTGTGCCAAAAGTCTGTGCTCTTTTGTGCCAGCGCCCACGATTCTACGGCCACGGGTTACATGAGTTACATGAGGCTGGCGGGATCTGCAGGTGTGGCATGAACGTTCACTCGGCTTGGATGTGTGTGTGTGTGTGTGTGTTCTTGCATCTTGGCGTGCTTGCCTAAGGCAGTCTACACAAGCACGAGAAGGACTTGCTTGCTGTATGCAGTGATTCAACTTGACAGTGGCCTGCGCTCCGCAAGACCTTAGCCCCACCCCAAATCGTGAAGGCAATGTGTTTGGCAGTCAAAACCCCACATACACAAGTCCAGGTGCGCCAAGATGTCTTTTGAGACTCCCTTCTTACTAGAGATGTCCCCAGTTCCACCCAGGAGCTCAAGAAGACGGTCGTCAGCGCCGTGCAAGACCTGGTGACAGTGACGGAGAAAGAAAGACGCGTGGCCATGTTCCAGGCGGCACGGTGCCCGTTGCATGGTGTTGTTGAGGCTTTTGGGCTTGGGGTTTCCTCCCCCAACCTCTTCCACTAACTAATAGGGTCTCTATCCCTCGGCTCAGCCAGATTACGGTGGGCTCTGATGGGGTGCCTGTGCTCCAGCATCTTCCGCTGTGTCAGCACCGACGCCCAAATCCAAGAGCCTTCAACCGCAACAAAAACTGTCCAGGCCCAGAACATAGAAACCTCGGCTTGAGCAGGAGCGCGTGCAAAAGGGCATCGACTACCTCAATGGAGTCCTGCAGGGTCCCGTTCCCCACGAGCGGGAGAGAGACGGACGCCCAGACTTCAAAGGAGTTTTTTCTTTGGGACTCTGGGACTCTGGGTGATGTGTTGACACAAGATTGACATGCTTCAGCAGGAAACGGAACTTGTGTTGACACGCTTTGGACTGAAAAACGAGAGCGCAAAGCTTTGTTGACAATTTGGAGATATGGAGGAGAGAGAGAGGAGAAAGAGACAGAGAGAGAGAGAGAGAACGAAAGTTTTGTCTCAGTTTGTCTGCTTCCTCGCGCGTGTCCTCCATGTTTCCTCATATCCTGTTGCTCTCGGCTCCAAGCCCCCCTAAGATTAGTATGAAACGTGTGAGACCGTGTGAGACGTTTCTCTCTGAGTTCTCCTGGTGAGACTCTTCCTAAAGAGGCCCCAAATTCTCTGATCCAAGCAAGATTTTGGGATGCCTAGTGTGTGTGTGTGTGCTCGTTGCTGAAGCTTCAAGTGTTCGCCTTGACAAGGACTGGATGCGTCCTTGATGCAGAAGCTTCCTGCGTACCAGGAGCTTATGACCAGAAACCCCGAAGCTCGAAAATCAAACCCCGAAATCCCAAACCCCAAGCCCTGGATTCAGGTTCACGCCAGTTCATGCCACCCTTTCAGATGCCAGATTGAACCCTAAAACTCGACTGCGTCGGATCACCACGTCGGACCTGTGGCCCTGGTCCGAAGGAGCTCTTCTCGGTGCTCCAGCTACAGGCAGCCTTCGAGCTTCCCCCATGGGTCTGTGGATTTTTTCTCGGCTGGCTGCTGGCTTTGAAGTTTGAAAGAAATGCAGACACCCTCTCTCCCGAACAAGAGATTTCGTGACATGAAGCGATGGAAGCGATAATCTCTAAATCAAGAATCTTTCCACCGACAGGTCAGCTACTTGGCAACCTTGTCCATGACAATCAAGGATGAAGAAGCTGCAGAGGCCGGAGTGCTGTGGGGACATTCGATGCCGATAGACTCCGATAGACATGGCAGATTCAGAATCGACCGCAGTGGGCGTTTGTGTCTGGAAGGTCTTCGTGAAAGTCGTGTGCGCTATCTTCGCCGATCTCTACGATGACCGCATTCGCAACCTGTGGCCTGCCCGTTTGTGTATAGGGGCCTTTTGTGTGTGGAAGGAGACGTAAGGTGAAATCAACCTTCAGGCTTCTGACGCAAGCTACGAAGGAGGGGGGGCTGTGAAGCGGTAGTGAATGTATTGCAGCTAGGGACATGGACCATGACAGCTTCACCCTGATAAAAAGAGCCCCAGGTTTGTGCTGCTGATGCAGATGATGGTCTTCAAGGAGCTCGAGCAGGTGCCTGTGTCACCGAGGTGAATCAGCAGGTGAACCACCAGGCGAAGGTGGTTTGTGAAGAGGTTTCCCGTGTTCAGAACCTGAGACCCGGAGACCCTGCGCAATTCCCAAGACCCGGGGATTCAAACGGGTCTCTCGGCTCAGTCGAAGCACATCGATGACGTCTTCTTGTCCACAAGTCGCTTGCTCCAACAGCAGGTCGCAGGCGCTCGTCTTTTTGGGTCTTACAGTGGAATGTAAGAAAAGATACCTTTGCGGACGACCTGAACAGACACTGGCTCTGATAGCGAAACGGCCCAAATACGGGTGCTGGTGAATGGAACAATGACAAGGTGTGGCTTGGGCCCACGTGCATCACCAGAAAACCAACAAAGAGCGATGCTGCAGGGTGTCTTCCCAGGCCGTACGTTCAAGCTCTTCTCCTTCTTCGCATTGCATGAGGTGCCCATGGCCTGGCATTATGTGAGACCTTCTGCATGTCAAGGTCCAGTGACTCAGGTGTTGGGATCAAGCCTTTGATTGTTGATTCTTGCGGCGCCTTGCTGTCTCCCGAACCTCCTCGCCCAAGAGACGCAAGAGACTCTTAAGAAAACCGAAAGCCAAGGGAACAAGCCCAGGTGCACTTCGATTCCGTCGTTCAGCCGCTTATGGACTTTGGGAGACGGGGGGGGGTGTATTCAGATGTATTCGGGTTCAAGATCTTTGGAGGTTGAGGAAGAAGCGAACGTGTGTCGTGAAGAAGGATTCAGGGGCTTTGAAGTGTTTTGGAACTTGCATGGGGAGGTTTGCCTTTGGCTGCCAAGGCTGCCAAGGCCTAATGAGCCGGGCCTTTGCTCTGCTAAAAGGCCTTTCTTTGCCCCCCCTCGCATTGAAATGCTTCAGAGTTCCTCGCAAACAGCAGTACATGGACATAACTTTTCACCTGAGGACGGTGGCTAGAACAGAGCTCTGTAAGAGCTTTGTAGCTGAAGTACACAGGCAAATGCTCCAAGCAGATCAACAGATCACTTACATGTTCTGCCTGCCTTGACCTAGGAGCTGTACATTCGGCTGTCAAAAGTCTCTTATGGTTCTTGGTCCCACACACAAAGGCGTAGCGTGCTGCGATGATGTTCCGTGAGTATTTCTTGGTGCACGGAACAAAGTTAGCTTGACATCTGCAGCAGGATTGCCATCGCATGGACGAGCAGAACCAGCCTGTGACTGTCATGGGTATGGTTACGTACAAGACGCCGCTTGGCGAAAGCTTGGCGAAACCTCAGTGTGAAGAGTGAAATCGTTTTGGCGCAGTGCGAACCTCGTCTTGCAGGATGCTCAAAGTTCCCAAACCTCGATCTCTAAGACCCCGAAACACAGAGCGGGAGGAGCAGAGGATCAGGGGCAACGGGAGCCACGCTAGCAACCGGACATGGGACTACTTTTCTTGGTCGTGCTGTCAAGCTTTGGTGCAGTAGTAAAGTCGTGACGACCATCCCAAGATGCCAGGCTCGAGCGCGGGCAGACCTGGTCTTTGGACTTCAATGACTACTTGTCTCTTGGTCGCTTTGAGCTTGTCTGGGTTACTTCAAGTTTCTCCTCTTCAAAGCGAGTAGACGGACGAACGGTGTCGAAGCGCATCTTCTCGCTTTGGTGGGCGATGGGGTTCATGAACGCATGAACCACCCCTCCTTCCGTAAGTTGCCTGACCCCAGAGGAAGTCTCCGAGCATAGCTGCCAAGCTGAAGGTGGCTCGGATGATGTGGAAACGTCTTTAGACCAGGGATTCGATGGGCTCGGAGGAGTTGGGATCTTCGTGTCGAGGAACAAAACTGGCAGGGGCCCTGAGACGTTTGAGGGTTCTGGTGGCTTCGGAGCTTTAGCAGGCACGGCGACAATCACCATGAGAGCCCGTCATCACCCTTCCGGAGAAGCTCGAAACATTTTTTGTTGCCAGCCGTACGCCCTAGACCTTACAAGGTTTTGCCTCTTGAAACTTGCAGGAGCAGGCCGCTCAGGAGCTCAGAGCCGATTTTACGAAGGAGCTCAGGGAGCTTCTCCGGAAGGTTGAGATGTTGAGAGGCAGTTGGAGGCAGTTGAGAGGCAGTTGAGAGGCATTTGTTGCCGGCAAGGAGTCCACAAGTCCACTTCGCCATCTGTTCTGACTCCGTTCTAAACCTTGTCACAGGAGCTCGAGGCCTTCTATGACTTCTTCAAGGTGGATGTGACTCGGCCTTGTGGTGTCAGGAGCGGCCTAAGGGCCGAAGGCATCAACTGAAAGGGCAGCTTTCTTTTTCCTCGGAGATTGAACGATGGTGATTTCCATGCTTAGTTTAGCTTGGCGTTTCAAGCTCGGACGTGCAGTGGGAGCCGGGATCCTCCGCGTAGCAGGGGATACGTAGGCGGAGACGAGACAGCAACGCACTTTGAGACCAGGCTGGCAGCCGAAGGGTCCTGGCTTTCGTGAACGCAGCTTCCCTACGTCTTCTCTAAGTCGAACAAATCTCCCCTGAACCACGGCTGTCAACTGCACTTTGATTGTCCGAGGTCGTGTCTGCCATCTCAAGGCTGTACTTGCCCTCCAGCTTTTGGTCCTTCTTTGCATTCTGCCGGGAGACCATCAAGGAGCCTCGGTTCAGACCTGTATGGTCAATCTGCTGTTCAATATCGGCATAAGCACCCCAGATCAACCATCCAGAAGGCCAGCAAATCCACACAGATTCCAGCGAAGTTCGGTAGCTCGCGGGTTTGATGAGTTTTAAGCGCTCAGGTTTTTGTAATGATTTGTACTGTCGCCGACAGCTTCAGAGCAGTTTCAGTTGCAGGAGACTTAAATCTACAGTGCTCTCTGAAAGTTGAGCTTGGGGTTATAGGTTTGCGGCAGTAAATCGCGCACCCCCCTCCGCAAGTTCATCTGAACACGGACCCGGACTTACCGACCCTAGCCCGAATCTGCACTTGCCCGGCTGATTCACATGAAATTGTCAGGAGTTTCAGCTTGTCGGCAATGAGGCTCAGCGACATCGGACCCTCAAAAGCTGTCTTCTTTTCAGCCCTCTGAACTCACCTCTTAAGGTCCCAGAAGTTGCAACTCGTAGTCATGCGGCGCTGGCAGCTTCTGGAACTCCACAATCTGGGGAGAAGTCCGAAATTTCACTTTGCACGAGTTCCCCTGCCTTCTGCGAGGGCTTGTCACGGTCCCCCCCCCCCTTCCACTTCGTCCCTGCCCGCTACAGCCAAAACAAGTGCCCGAATGCTGGGCAGGAAGATGAGGCGGGCACAGAGGCCGCTGAACTGAGGATAAACCGGCGTAAGGCTTTCGAGTGCGAGGGTTCTGTTCTGAGTCCGAGTCTCATGCTTTTTGATTGGGCGTACCAACGACCCGTCAGTGTCTTCAGATTTGGGCATTCGACACCATTCGGCGCCCTGCAATGCTCAAGTTTCAGCCTTCAAGCATGGGGCATGGGGGTTTTCTTTACAGGTGGAGCTGCAGATGTGCGAGCCTCTCTTCCGCCTGCTCATCAGCGGGATTGCTGGGGGCCCTGGGATGACATCAGGGGTCTCAATCCGGGCTGTGCTTTGGGTTTGATTGCCGCAGAAACAGAGATCGAGTGACACTCATTGGCGTGATCGGAGGAAACTAAGCGAGTAGTACCTTGTTCCCAGGAGGCAGGATTCAGAATTTCCAGGCTCCGTATGAACCCCAAGGAACAGACGGGAACCGGTCAAGTCTTGGACTGCTTTGGACATGTTTCACTTCAACAGGTGTTGCAGGCCTCCTGCAGGTAGACGTTTTGACATGTTTTGACCTTGCAAACACCTGCCCTGTTGCAGATTCTGCCCGTGCTCAGCCAGCCAAAGAAGTACGGCGGGCGGGAGGCGTGCCGGAGTGTTGTTGTACTTGGCCTTTGGGGCCTTTTTTGGGATAAGGGCTCCAAATCCCGAATAACAAACTCAAACCTATCAGGCCCTAAGAAGCCTTGACATTTGGAGCAGCTGCAGGCGTGGAGGCGCCCAACATGCCTGCTAGCCTCTAGCCGCCTAGCCGTCAGAGAAGTAGCTTATGAAGCGTCCTTTTGCTGAGCCCGAGACCCTGAAAGGCACACTTGTAAGAGACTTTCTCTAATCTTTGACAATCTGAGACATGGCGGGCTCTTCGCCAGGTTGGCTTGCGGCGGTGTGAGAAGAACAACTTCGAGGGGGACGTCCTGTTCAACCTTCGCAGCCTGCTGAAAGTCAGAGCATGTGGGAAGTTAAGGGGGAGGATGCCAGATTAGCTGTGACTGGTTCAAAGGTGCCAAGAGCCCACTCGGCCAGGTGATGCGAATTGAGCCGCGAGACTTCTCATGTGACCATTCCCAACAGACAAGACATCACCATTGCCAGAGCCAGAGCTGCTGAGCTTCAAGCCTCTTCCCTCTCGACTCCCAGGTACCGTGGTGGAGGCATTCGAGGAGACACTTCTGGGTTAGGTGTGCAGTAGTCACCTGTCGATGTCCTCCCCAATCGTACCACGTGCCAGCAAACGACCCACATGTCGGACAGCAGGCAGTAGTTGATCCTTGAGCCTCTTATGCACATGCTCTTTCCAAGATTGGTTTGCATGTGTTATCTTGTCTCGCATAGGGCTCTGGTCTTCTGAAGGACATGGTCTTGATCGTCCCCAGTGGAAAGAAGGCGCTGAACAAGATCGGATCCCGACTCAGGCGGGCTGGAAGATTGCTTGGCAACGGTTTTCGTTCCCAGAAGCACTGGATCCGCTACATGAAACCGGCGGCCAAGGTGTAAGTGTGCAGGATTTTCAATTGTTTGGGTTTGTGAACTGGGGTTCCTTGCGCGCCACTGGGCGGGTGGCCATACCACGGCTTAGATCAGGCGGTGAGAAGCATTATGTCAAACAAGCAAGCAGATTAGGAGCTTTTCCTTGACAACCACAACATGAAGCTGTTTCGGAGCTGAAGGCCGGAGATTCTTCGATACATCCTTGAACGGCTCATGACCGGAGCAGATGAGCCCGACACCATGGTCACGGCGCTTGGGGAAGGGATCTTCAGCAGTTGTTCACATGTTCAGTCGTTTCTTTTTGCTTCCTTCTTGGTGACCATGAGAATCCGAAATCCCGTTCATTTGGGTCGGTTGTCTTGAACCATGATGCCCATGAAGCATGAGCCCAAGCCCAAGGGACGCACTAGTAACTAGTAGATCTACGGCATTCGCATGAGTCCGTTCCCACAAGGTGCAAACCTTCCTCGCGCACTATGACCGCCTGCCGAAGAGAGCTTCGGCTGTCACGTGGAACGGCGTATTACCACCACCCTGTAGCAGCGTCTTCGTGAGAGAGAGCAAGTTGGTATAGTCATCGCGAGAGAAAGCAAATTAGTATAGCGTCGCGCGAGTGGGTGTAGATCGCTGACAGGGATCCTTCTGAGGTATCTATGTCTCCACCTCCCAGCTCGTGATGTTCCAGAACATGATCCTGAGCAATGTCAACAAGATCAGGCCACTTCCCCATGCTTCCCTCCCTCTCCTCAACCTCGCAATGAAGTTCGCCGTGTCGCCGCAGGCTGACGTCTGGGGACCCGCTGGATGAGGCGCGGCAAAGATGATGAAAGGGAAGGAGAAGACAAAAAGGCTATCTAAATTTTTTGTTGGCTTCTGGTGGAGCAAGTTGCTCTGCGTGTCTATGTCAGAGCGCTGCAGGGACCTGAAAGCCCACCCAAAAGCCTCTCACATCTCGCAGGCGACGAAGAAGATCGGCCTCTGGTCCGAGGAGTGCCGATGTGTGGCGTCGGTTTTGTTCAATCAGTGCTTGATCTGGTGTTTGTGTCAACTTGAGGACCATGTGAAAGAGGCCAAGAGCAAGGCTGACAAGGGCCTTGAAGTGGCTGTGCTGAAAGCAGCTGAAGGGTTTAGGTCCGGTCCTAGAGAGGTGTTTGAGGAAAGACCCATAGCCGGAGAGCGTAAACCCTGAACCCCAAAGCCCAAAACTCTGTATCCATAAGTTCCGTAAGCCTCTAGTTCTGGGACTGCGCAAAAGGCGTCACTCCCATACTTCAGAACTCCAAATTTGAGAGATTCCCCGCACATTTCAAAGGGGAAGCAGCCCGAGGTTCTTCACCGTGTGGAGATCCAGCACCGCTTCTTCTTCACGGACCCGTTCGGTCGGCTAGGTACAAGGGTCTAGGCGGTCTAGGGTTGAGAGCTGAATTTGTAGGAGTCCAATGTCTAGGCCAAGACACTTCCAGGCATTTCAAACTTCCCACAACCCCAACTGAAGCCTCTTAAGCCCATGGAAGCTTTTCGTTGGGTGGTTCGCGGGTAACAGGGGGTCGCTGCCGCCAAAAAGAAGAAATCGGACACAGTGTGGGGTAAAACTGTGTCGCTGGCTGCGCAATGTTCGTCCGGAACCTGTAGGGGCTGTAGGGGTACAGTGGTTTCGCTGCCCTTGGCTTCTTTGAAGGCTGTTCGGAGGTCACTTGTGGTCGCTCAATGATAGAACGGTGTGATTCGCAACCACAAGGCAAGCCATGTCGAGGGCTATTCTTTTGGTTGAACTCAGAAGGTCCGGGGGGCAATCGTACCTCTCACAGGACCTCTCGATGACTGTGTGCCCAGCTTCGAAGTGCACTGTGGCCTTGGCACGCTTCCGAGCAATTCTTGGAAAAGTGTCATTCTTCTGAAACCCAAAAGGTAGCAATGAGCTTGGAAACAGATCACTCACTTGGTCACAAGAAGCTTGGAAACAGATGAACAGGAAATCCACTGTGGACATGTTGCTCTGTTTCACAGCATTCGCCTGAAACTTCACGAGCCGAGGATTTCTCGCACGGTGGTACAACAGGCTATCTCACATATTTGTCATATGATTATCGACTATTGATATAGATCTAGATATAGATAGCCTAGAGAAGAATGTGACTGAAAGCTATGAGCAAAGAATCTCGGTGGTTGTCTGTAGAGTTCTCTCTTCAAATGTTTCTTCGCGTTGCCTTGCGATGCTTCACAGTTCAAAAAGTGATAAGTCGTCATTGTAACCATTCAGTGGACAGCAAACATGAGTAAGCTGATGGCCTAATGAGCCCATGAACATGCCAGGTGCCATTGCGACTGAGCTCTGCGGCAGGAAGTGGCCAGGGTGCGAATGAGGCGTGGAAGGGTTTAGAGAGAGGAGTGTAGAGATTCTTGGGATGTAGAGTTTCGTTGTGAACTTTCAGAGTGTGTCATTCTAGGCTCCACAGGGTGCATTGCCGAATTTCCTGAAATTGCATCTCGTGTGTGATGTTTAGGCATAGGCTTCATGGGGCTGAACATGATGTTTGTCATTACAGAGCCAGATCGAAGGTCAGATGTGGGACTGCAATGTGGGTGTGCACTGAAGCAGAGACATGTGATGAAGGCTTTCTGTCAGCCAGTGTCTTCTGGCGGTGCAAGAGCAACATAACATAGAAAAGGCCACTTAAAGTCAAAGAGCGCAGAAGGCAGACCCTCGAGCCCTGTTGCCCCATCGATCTTTTCAATGCAGGGGGCCGTGGAGCAGAATGTGGATGCTGCGTGGTGGCAGTCAGCTGGGACTCTGAATTCTTCTTAACATATTGGAAGGATCAGTGCGTAGCTTCCCTGAGCAGAAAGTGGTTCAAGGAGCAGACCTGCTCGCGGAGTAGGCGCTGTAGGTGTTGCTGTACCAGTTCCAAGGTGATCCGAACACTCAAGGAAGATAACCCGCACAAGGCACGGCTTCGGGGGGGGGGGTCCGGGACACTGCAGGGGCAGTCAGCTCAGGTTACATGGGACCTCTCTATGCAAGATGCCAAAGGCTAGAGTCTGGAGGTTAGAATGGGGTGGGAGGCCGCGTGTCCCGCAAATAGCAGAAAGAAGCTCACAGTACTTCAATTTGACAATGCTTGATACCACCAGTCGAATCCCAATTCCTTGCACCCCCTGTATCTTTCCACCAGCTCATCACTACCCGCTTGAATTGTGGAACAACTCATTCTTCGCACGCCTCGACCCGGACATAACCCTGAGGTCGCAAAGGCACTGAACAATGATCAGCCAGTAGTTGATTCTGGTTGTGCTTGCTCTTGGTTAACCTACCGCATGTACGCCAACATGCCGGAACCTGTGCCATACTTTCTCGTATTGTCAGGTATAGGTACATTTTTGGCTTCTTCAGATGCTAGTTGCTGGTTGTTGTGTACTTGTAACATTGATTTCTTTTGCCTGTGCCTCTCTTACCAATGTCTGTGCCAAATGCTCAGCTCGGTTACTGCACATCGCCAACATCGTCCCACAACTCATATTCGTTGATGCCTGACAACTTGACTGACAAGCCAGTCAACTCCGATAGCCCTTCAAAAGCCTCATTTTCGTGGCAGCTAACGTAACGAGCATTCAGCGTGACATTGAGCTCCACAAAAGGGAGGTATCTTGAATGCTTTGCAGGCTGAGGTGCATGATGATGCGTTGAGCACGTAATCATCGCTGCGTTTGGCAAACAAACATGTCAGGTCTTGCAAGCAGGCTGTTGCACGCAGTTGCCCAAGTTGGAGTCTCGCAGGTCCTGGAGGATCTCTTCCGACACCTGCCGATGTTGACTGCGACGAACTTCCAAGACCCCTAGGGATGCAAGGGGGGCTTAGGGTTTGGGTTTCGGGAGGGAGGGTTGAAGGTTCTGCTGGTTGAGGGTTCGGGCTTGGCTTGCTAGGTTCAACATATGCAGGTCAAGAATACAACTGAAATAGGTCGGAACCCAGAAACGGGATGAAAAACAACATCGAAATTCAACCAGGACCGATTCTGCATAGGTGTGAAATAGGTAGCATGTGGAGACTAGAACACAGAAGACAAAGACAACAACCAATGATATGAAACACTTCCTGCAAACCCTAGCAACCAAGGATATGAAACACTTCCTGTAAATCCTAATCCCTCCCCCGCCACCCCCCCGCCCCTCCTCTCGTCCCCGCTGGCCCTCGGGCCCACTCCCCCCCCCACCCCCTCCTCTTGAGCTGTAACAACAACCGTGGGAGACAGAACACCGGGGGGCAGGCAACGTCAGGGATCCAAAAAACTGTTGTGTGCCCGCGTTTGCTTGAAGTAGAGGTTGCACACAAAGGCATGGGGTGAGACTCGACTTGCAACAACTACCAGTGGCCTCACCTCCACGTAATTGCGAGGCCGAGCAGGCTGTCCTCAATCTTGAGAGATGACCGATTAAGCTTGAGGCCCAACCACTCTCAATCCTGAAAAAAAACGCCCGGAAACCTGAGAGAAACCGGCATTCCCTTTGGCGACATTTTCCTGCGGTGCTGCGCGAGGACCTTTACACCGAGTTGGAGGCCTCGCACGGTGGGCTTTTCATGGAAGGTGAAAGGTTGTCGGCAATGGCACCTGCCCCATGGTACACCCCACTGGTTGTTGCCCTCGATTGGCCCTCGATGTGGGCAGCGCGACGTTTTGAACGGCCGATGCTTGATGTGTGGATTGGCGTAGCATATTGAACCACCGCAGGGTCCATGACCTGGGTCTCGAGCTATGCGGCAAGACTGTGGCACGACCTCGTTCGCAAAAAGGGACTGCGAGCCCCCGTAGTCTGAACCCGAATTCCAAGTCCTGGACAATGCCGGAAGCCTGGAGTCAAGGACAAGGCCAGCCCCAAGTGTCAATCTTTCAAGCTGCTGCCAGGCCATGGTTGCGCAGTTTGTGGCAACGGAGAATGTAGTCTGGGAGAAGAAGGTGAGCGAAGTTTCTCGGCTTCGAAATTCTAGCTGGCGCGAGCCCTTGTTGCCTTTGGCTGATTCAGGATGCCAGGCCTAGGCTTGGGGTGATAGGTGTTCGAATTAAGGTGTTCGGATTAAGGTGTGAGGGCTGTTGCATGGGCTTTAGTGGTTGAGTCCCTGAGGAAGGCTTAGAGATTCAGGATTCTCAAAGAAGAGGTCATGCTAGTTACATGTTTCTAGTGGTGTCTTCGCCGTGCAGAGATGGTGCAGACCTTTCTCGTTTGTTCAGGGTCTGATCGCTGTCGCTGATCTCATTGACACGGAGACAAGCCCGGAAGAGGTGTTGGACACGCCGCCCGGTACAGAAGATAGAGACATGGCGTGCTTGCATCACAGGCATGATCTCTGTTGTCTTTGTTCTCTTTTGAGACAGAATGTGCTTCCATGCATTGCGAGCGAATTCAATTCCCGACATTTTTTTTGGCGCTTCCAGTTGCGCTGACGCCATCCCAGCTTCACCGCCAGAGAGCAGGGGAGCGCTCCGAGAGATGGTGGGGTTCAGAGAGAGGGTCACAGTCGCAGTGCGGAAATGGTCCCGATGCAGTGTTCCTGTAAGTTACCCTGGCAGTTCTGGTCGCTGAGGATGGCTTCCGTGATCTTGGCCCGGAACCGCCATAGCACCCCAGCGGAAGAAGTTGATTTCGGTGTTTTGACACTTTGAGGCTGTCTGGGCGTATTCTTTCCACACCAAGACAAGATCCTGATTCTTCTCGCGACCAGTTGGTGGACACCGAGGCCGCTACCTGCAGTCTGTGCTAGCTGGCCTCTCCCAGCTCTCCGTGGCCCGAGATCGGCACGGCGAGGAGATTCGCAGGCCCTCAGTTGCCACGCTCACACTTGCACGCAACCAGAGCGTGTCTGAGAGAAGAGGCGGCTTGAAGCCCACCCTGGACCCTCGTGAACACCCAAGCTCAAAGCTTGAAAGGACCGAGACGGAGCTGAAAGCTCTCATCCAGCACTCCAAGACGATGCACTTGTGCCTTGGACCCGAAAACCCGAGCTTCGAGCAGTTGCAGCCTTGGCCCACAAAAGTGCCATCTTCCAGGAATCCCTTTGGCATGTCCAAACCTCCAAACTCGTCGCTACTTAACTCATAGGAAGATTCGGAAGTCAGGTGGAGCGGCCCATGGACATCTCCCATGTACTTTTGGCGCATGGTTGTAGGCATCGTTGCGAGGTTGTGGGCCGAATCCAGGAGAGAATATCGGAACAAATGTGGGCCAGAAATGTCATGACTTGTCATGATACCCGCCACCCTGATGTGGACAGCAGGGTGCCAAGCACAAATCAATGAGCAAGCACAGCTCATCAAAATAGCGAGGATTGAAATGCTCATGAACAGAGGAAGAGCAGAAGACTGATCTTGTGATGGTGGCTGTGCTTGGCCTTTTGGTTGTGGAGTCTTGTGTTGTTGCCCGCCTGCGCCTTGGATGCGTAACCTAGAAGCTCAAGATGGTTTTGTTAGGCTAGGCAGGCTAGGCAATGCCCGCAAAGCATGGAGTGCTTCATCTTTGCACCCTCGAGGCCCACACGGATTCTGGACGTCGCCAAGGCAGATGAGATCTGTAAACGTTGGTGTAAGCTTCGGGAACCTCGAGATGCCCCAATCGTCCTGCGTGACTGTTTTGCATCAGCGCCATAGACAAATAACGCTGAGGAAAGAAGCCCAGAACTCCACGCAAAAAGGCCTTCAAATCCAAGCCATGCAAGATCCAGCGGCAAAGCCCTGAAGCCCCAACGAGCAGCTTCGAGCCGGGCTCATCTCGGCCCTAGATCCACAGGCAGAGTCAGCCATCCTACGGGGAAGTGAGATCAACTTCTTGATCCGGAAGCAGGACTCTCCTCCTTCGACTTTTGGGTTTGTGGCACCATCGGTGCTTATGGGATTGTTCCCTGTTGTGCCTCTTCGTGTCAGATCATTCTTGACCACCGAGAGCTGAAGTCAAATGATCGAGTCACTGTATCAGAGCCACGGCATGACCTTGCGATGGTTCCGCATGGTTCCGCTAGTACTGTGTGCTCTCAAGATGCGAAGCCGCCACATCCCGCCACATCCTGCCACCTGGTTCCTTTGGTTGCATCTGTCGTGGGCCCTGGGGAGGCCGCCAAAGTCAGGACCAAGACGGGCAACAAGGCTGGAATTTTCGACTGTTGCCCGCCCCGTGGCCAAGACCACGCCAAACCCACAATATACATGTGGATTCTGCACTCCTGCACCTACTCGATAGCGCCTCTGATCCCCAAGATGCACCATGCCGTACTGACAAGGCGGATTTGATGGGGTCTGGGGCATGTCGGGGTACTGTGTTCAGGAGTCTGCGCAGGTTCGGCGGAGAAGGGATCTCCTGTCAGTCCGGCGTAGGATTCGCACTCTGCCCACGGCAGGTGGTTCGGGTTCGCCTTACGGACCTCATGGAGAAGGGCCAGGTGCATACCAAGACCCAAATACTCATTCCCTGAACTCTCGGAACTTGAGTTCGCAGGCACAAAGGGGACCTGCCTGAAGCCCTCCCTGATCACACTGCAATCTTGGACCATGCGCTTGTATGCGCTTCACAGATTGAGAGGAGTGGCCCCACATGGCAGGTGTTAAAGAGGCCATGAAAGTTCAGTAATGGCGGCCTGGGCGTGTTAACCAATCAGGAATGTTGCCTCCGGTGTACGGAATGCAGCGTGTGTTTCCATTAAAGTCCCAGCTTTGACTCATCATTCAAAGTGTGGACTATTCCTTAGACCGGCTAGCAGAGGAAAATGCACAGAAGAAAAGAGGAAGCCGCAGTTCGGGGAGCAACCGCGCAGGTTTAAAGCCCCCCGGCACAGGTGTTGGCCTGCTACAGCGAGCTCGACACTGTCCAAGGCCAGCCCTAGATACACGGTTCCGAGTTCAGCATTTCGGGCGATAACCTACCCACCCTGCACTCCTGTTCCCGAGCTGTTGATGTCCAAATGGCATGAAGTACGGCAGGGATCATGATGGTTGACATTTGTGAGCATTACTGAGGTGTGCTTGTAAGGTAGTGCCCGGGGGTAAAGATCCCGACAAGAGAATAATTGAAATGCTCTTTCTTGCCAGCCGCCTGTTTCTGTGCGATGCTCCCTGCGCAGAAAACGTTTACCTCACCCTTTGGTCCTCCGACTCGGACGTCATCATCCACGCCGCACGTTCGCAACGGCCGTCTGAAATTCCAGGGTTTTATCCAGACCGAAGCCCTGAAGCTGCACCACTGCACCAGTCGCTGGAGCAAATTTGAGCCTCGAGTTCAGGTGGGGCTGCTGGACGATGAGGGCTTTCTCCTCGAGTTTGTGAAGCAATTCCCTGTCGCGGAGTCCCTGATCAAGCTCCACGGTCTGCACTTGCACTCTCTGAGTCGCAGATTTTTCGCCGAGCCTGACCCCAACGACTTGAAACCCGAACTTGTGCACGCATCTTGAACTTGCCTGTGCTGAGGCAGGTCGCCCTCGCTGACCGGAGTGCAACCATTGGCCTGCCATCAGAAGGCCACCATTCTTGGCTTCGATCGGGCTCTCTTGGGTCTAAAGTTTAGGCTAAGGGCCGAACAGGGGGGGGGGGGGGGGGGGGGCTTTTCTGGGTCCATGGCTTTCCAGGAATTTCCAGGACTCCTCAAGGTCCAAGCTTGTCAGGGTTGACAAGTTGGGGGCGCATGTAAGAAGCCGATGCCTTGGAACCCAACAGAAACCCTACACCCTAAACCCTAAACAGTCTGGCTTTCTGGACAGGACCTGTGCTGATGAAGTGGAGGGCCCTTGAATTGGCAAACCTCCTGAAGTCCGTCCCGCCAGCTGATTGAGTGTGGACTTCTGGTCCCACCGTAGGGCCAAGGTCTAGTTCAGGGCTCCAAGGAAGGAATCGTCACTTTTTTGTATGGAGCTCCCAAATCGTTGGGGATTCTCAGGCTCTAGATCTGTTCTTTCAGGGACTGTCGAGCGTTCTGACTAGTTCTGCTTGCACTTCCTTTGAGCTATAGGGTGATGGGTTCAAGCCCTGGATGTTCGGAGCAACGCGCATGCTCCGGTGATAATGTCGTGGCACGCTTGGAAGCAGCTCTTCCAGTTTGCTGTGCACACCTACCTGCACCCTCTCGGCCACTGATGCAGTCGATTCAAGCTGTTGTTGTCCTGAAATGTTGTGAGTAAGTGTTGACGTGCAGCGCCTTCTTGTCCAGGAAAAGGGACTGCATGACTGGAAGCGAGGGTGCAACTTCAGTGTGATCTGGTGCAAAGTCGCCGCAGACTCTCTCTCTCTCTCTGCCAGAAGCTTTGGCAGTCCGGCTCCGCCATCCGCATCAAACAACTCGAGTAGTAGAGGTCCTCTTCTCGATGTCTTCTGGACCCCTTCACAGCCTCCTGCGCCCCAAAATGGCTTGCCGGTACGTTCCCTGTGTGAGCCGACCACCCGAAGCTCGCACGGAGCCCCACCTCGACTCGAGAGTCGAAGCAATGGCATGAACCACATTCCCCCCAAGAGGCGCTTAAGACTGCGTCCTCCAAAGGTACCATGCGCGATGCATGTTCAACACCTTCACTCGTTCAAGGAAGGCCCCGGCAGATCAAGGAGCATTTCAGGAGTCTAGGCCAACGCGGGGAATCTGAAGTCCGAAGCATGCCTCGCTTACTGAGGCTTTGCTGGGGCTGTGCTGGCTAGATGGAAGAGGGTCCTGTAGCACTCTCCACCCATTGCCCATTTCCACGTGCCGGTTCACTCTTGTGCGAGTCTTGCGCCTGCAGTCCACGCGAGTCATCCAATCTCCCGAAGACTTGGAGGGCTTCGATGCCTTACGGCCGGAGGACCGAAAGCCATTCAAGCGGTTGAAAGAGTCTTGGGTAGGGAGCGTTGGTATCGAGCCGGACTGGTCGCTGCCAGCTAAGGGCTGTGACACGCTCATATCGAGCCTTATCTTGCATTCACGGTCTGCTCAGAACGCTACGCCGCTACATACTCATACAGTCTCAGGAACGTGATACTGCAAGGCTGTGCAAGCCTCACTCGCCCGAGACAACACGAGACCACATGAGACCCTCAAGCCCGAACGCTCTAGCCAGTACAACTGAGACTTAGCCTCCGACAACTTTTGATGCGAGGTGTTTGGCTTCTCGAACATTCTTTGTTGATATTTTCGAGCAGCCGTATAGCTTATTATGAACTCAGATCCCCAGTGAAACCATACGCGCCGCAGGACCAGGATCTGCTCCGCAGAATCATCTCCGGCTCAGAGGCGGTGAATGCTTCTCTCAGGGCATATGCTGAAGCCCGGAAAACCTCGTTAAGAACGTGAAGAAAGAAGCGCAATCGAAAGGTCGCAAGGGTGTGGGCTTCAACCCCCTGGGACCATTTTGTAAATGCCCACTTCACAGCTGCCAGGACCTCCGGGGCGCTCGCTTCCTCTCAGCTGGGCCAAATGTCATAGGCAAGCGAGGCAGGTACCTGTTGGACCGGGTGGCGCACGGGATTGCACCTGGTTCTCTGAACCACCCCAGTAGGGTATCATTGCTTTTTTTTGACAGCGCTGCAACTCTGCTGCCAAGCAGCGGGGCGAGGAACCGCGATCTCTATTTAACATGTTCACCTGTTTTACCACCCCCCCCCCCCACCCCGAAATGCTGCGCCTTAGACTGCTGCTTTCTAACAACACACCTGATGCTTCAAACCCACGACGAAAGCTACAAGCCTGACCGCAGAAACTCATAACTTTTGGATGAGCTCAAGTGTACAACTCTGTCTCAGAGGGATCAACGTATCGAACCATGACACGGAAACAGCTTGAATTGCATCTCTCCCAAAACTTCCAACGCATCTCAAACTCCCTTGCCGAAAGGCCTGGGCGCAGATGATGGACCAGCTGGGAAGAGGCAGCGCTGAGACTTTGACCGGGCGTGAGGAAACTCTTGAATTCTGAGGCCGAGGTTTGGTATTCAAGGGGGATCTGGAGTCCTGAAAAGCTGGGTCAGGAGAGCGTGTTCATGCAGTTTTCAGGCCGGCTCGAGGGCCAAATTCTGTCCAGCCCAACTCTTTTCGCAATCGGCCAATGCATTTGCTCGAAGGAAGAGAAGTGATTGTAAACATGAAGCTTTGCTTGCCTTGACCGGGGGGGGTGGCTGGGGGAAGGATCCTGGTCTGCTTGTTCCAGACGCCTTTCGGCCGGAGGCCGAGGCGAGTTAGTTGGCTCTCCAGGCGTCGAGAGCTGGAGGAGCAGGCAACTGCCGTCAACCTCCAGAAGGCAAGGTCTGCGCGGTTCAGGCTTCGTGGCAAATAATTTCCTCGCATATACTGGACGTTTTCAGTTACTGTGGACCTTATTGCGGGTTTAGGGGGCCGGTGATGCAGATCTGGGACAATGAAAGAGGCTTTGTCGCTGGTCAGGATGCATTGCCAAGTCACCTACTGTCCGACATGCTCCGACATGTTGACACGTATTATGCGGGACAAAAATCGCTGTCGCGCCTCATGAACAGCAACCACGCGTCGTCATGGTTGCAGGGTTTTGCACGCACATGGGATTTCCGAACTTAGGGTACCTTATTCGGGTCCTTATTACACAGGAATCCTCCTACTCAAGGGGTTCTATCTTCGGGGTCCCCTATTGTCGTAAACCCCCCACATAGCTCACGGGAGGTGAACTCTTTCCTTCACCCTGAATTGGATATACACCAGGGCGCTCGGGTGTGGACGAGATGCTGGGTTCGGAAGACAGAGCCAGGGTGCGGCTCCCAAAGGGTCAGGCTGTGAGGGTTTAGGGTTTAAGGCTTCGGGTTTCAGGTGCTCGGAAGCCCTGAATCCTATAAGGCCCCCGAGCCTGCAGAAGTGTTGCCCTTGGTGGAGTGGGTTCTGAGGCCGGATGGGATGATGGACGTTCCCTCGAAGAGCAAGAAAGAAGAGCTTGGCATGATCGTGGAGGAGGCTCGCAGGGCTCTCTCAGGTGTTCATGGGACGGGTGCTGCATCCCTGGCATTCGTGGTGGACCTTGCTGTGGAGTCCTTAAATCCTATGAGCCTTAAAAGCCCTGAACCCTAAGCTCCAATAACCCCAAATCCCCAAAGCCCCAGTTAAACCCTATGAGCTCCACGGAACCAAAGTCCTCAACTCTAACTTTGCGAGGCGTCCCCGGCAGTTCTTTTCTTAAACCGAAAATGGTGACCAGGACTGCCCGACCCGAAACCTCAAGCCTGTAATTCTGAGTGCAGGCCCAAGTGAGGGGGTAAGTCGTAGGCCGCAGTGACACGGGGGGCATGAGGGACCCAGCACATGCTCCCTTATAGCTTCCCAGAACTGAACAGAGAACAGACGTATCTGTTCCTTGGCAGACGGATGACGGAAAGTTTGTGATTCAGTTTGAGAGCAAGGAGGCCTTGCTCCACAAAAGAGGGTTGGGGCGTTCTGAGGTGTTCTGGCCTGTTGAGTTGTCTTTCTTGGGGATGGTGTTTGTGGTGCTTTGGGGAATGTGGGGAACAAGGCGCGTGTAGCAGGTTGAGGATGCCACTCACAGGCAATGTTGAGACTTTCAATTGGCTGTTGCCTCGGAAGCTGCCCTCGTGAGGCTGCGGGTTCCATCCCTCAGTAGCAGCTCAGTGCTGCAGCCAGATGCACCCAGCCCACATTCCTGCACCCTAAAGGTCCTAGAGTCTTCTGAAACCTCGAGACGCGCTCTCAGTGCTCACTTCCCTTAGTTCTTAAACCCAAAACCCTAAACCCTAAACATGCCCTGAACCCTACGCCCTAAACTCTAAGCTCTGGACCCGAAACACCAAACCCTAAGCCCTGAGCCCTAAGTCTTTGCTCGCCCCCTTGCTCTCAGCACGAAAAAGAGCGGCTCGAGATGCTGGAGAAGAGGAGGACGGGCCCGTCTCCTGAGCTCGGAGAAATGGTTTATGATAAGAATTCTCGTAAACCACACATATACCATTCATAGTATTTACATACTATATTATATGATATGATATTCTATCATGTACATACGAAATTTGGTTTTTTTACGCGTGGGGAAGCGCTTACTCCCGCTCAAGCATCGTCACCACCCGGCCACAATCTTCAAAGAAACGTTGCGAGTTTCGATCTGAACAGGGTTCCTTTCCCGGTATTGGGGCGGGGGATCAGCAGAATGACGAGCCAAGCCGCGGTCACTCTGTGAAATGCTTTCAAAAGGGGCCCCTAGGATATCTAGAACAGAGCCTCAGTCTTTGTCAGTGTTGAGCGTTTCAGATGTTGATATTGGAATCAGGTGAGCTGACATCAGAGCGTCCAATTTCATCTCGCCAGGTATCGCCGTATCAGAGCGTGGCTGAGGCAACGCACTGAGAGCACCCAGATTGCCCACCCCGAAAGAGGCAGTGCGCAGTAGGTCACAAAAGCGAAGCCCATTGTTCGCCTCCTGCAGAAGGCGTCCCTCACTCCATTTGAATCAAGCCCATGTTGAATTGATATCTGTATTTGTGGGCTTTGAGGCTGCAAGGCCTAAGGCTCAAGAATTCGTCAACAGCGCCTTCAGCCCAAGCTTGCACCACCCAAACACGTGGAGGTATCCGCGAACTTTCGAGGGAAAGACCCAGAAGGCTGGATGTGGGGTCACAGTGAACGCCTTCAGCCTCACAGTTTCAGCTTCAGCTTTTTGTGCACCACGTTTGTTTGTTGCCCTCATCCCGAGATCCCATTCAGATCCCACGCATGCGCCAGATCCACCGTGACTGGATCCAGCTCAAGCGCCCTCCACCCAAGCTTTGCAGCTGCAAGAAGCAGGCACGCCCGAGTCCCAAGCAACTGAAATCTCTAGTCCTCTAAGGTGCCGTTTTTGGAGCTCCTTCTGTAAATTAAGATTTGTCTGGCAACCACAAGCCCTAATCCCTTCCCCCCTTCCCTGCAGTTCCCGGCAAGATTTGATCTTAGAGCCGCTATCTTGGAGCGGTCTTCCACACTTGTTGGGTCGCTTTGAGAGCCCTCTTTATGGGCCACGCAGCAGGTGGAAAGTTGCCTTCGTGACACGTAGAGCGTAACCTGCAGAGTGTGAGTCGCAGATCTCAAGATGCACGCACAGGAGTGGGGTCACGAGTGCCCCTGTGGCATTACCTGCAAAAGAGTCGCGAGACCTGACGTGTGGGGCGTGGACCAGTGAGACGCTTGAGAGAGCTACATGGCGACGGCCTCCGAGAGGGCCGTACAAAGTACTTAGGAACGATCGTCTAGATGCTTGTAGGCCAAGGTCGCTGTGCATCTAAGGTACAAGGCTATGTTTGGAGGTAATGTCGGAGCTCCCCGAACACCAAACTCTGCGCCTTTACAGCCTAGAAAGTCAATCCGAGTGCACACCCTAGTTTTCAACTAGTTTTCAACTAGTTTTCAACTAGTTTTCAACTAGTTTTCAGCTAGTTTTCAACTAGTTTTCAACTGTTCATGGGACCGAGAGGTTGTCCAAAAGGCAGCGCGCCTTGCAATTCGTGCAGCCAGCAGCGGACCCTTGTCGCAGCCTGGGGGGGTCCCTCGAAATTATCTCCAATAGATCCCAAGAGGCGATAGCGCGTGTGGCCCTACGTCGGTGGTGTTGACAGTGGCACATGTGCTACGCATCACTCATGATCCATGTGTGCGATAGGGTATATTGAGCAACCCACAAATCTCGGTCTTTGCTGCTTGTTCTTGAAGGTCTGTTGTAATGGAGCCCAGGAAGGAAATCGGGCCCCTCCATCCATGGCTGCGACATGTCCTGACCCGTGATTTTTTCGGAAGAGCCGGGTGAAGAGCAGCTCTGTGCGGGATGAGTTTCAAGCTTGATCCTTAGCACTCGGATTGGAGGGTGAGGTTTGGAAGGCAGTAGGAGCCTGCTAGGAGGTTTGAGGACTTGAAATCCTGAGCATGCCTTGTGTGCCCCTTGTGTGCGTCCCCGTAGCGTGGTCCAACCCACAGAAAAAGCGAGAAGCTACGCACCATTTCATGGAACAGAAGCGTTAAGGTGTTAAGCTCATGGCCGTGCGCCAGCCGATCTGGGGATAGGAGCGATAGGAGCGACAGGAGGTCAGAGTCGACAAACTGCCAGTTTTTGTCGGGAGGAATCAAGTTGGGTGTTTGGGGCTTCTTTGCCTGGCTTTTCCGTGGGGAGTCTCCCCTGGGTGTCCTGAGCACTCCCGGATCCATCAAGTCTCAAACCTACCCCAACCCTAAACCACCCTAAACCCTGAAGCTCCACGTCCAGCAGCTTCGCAAAGTCCGGACAAACCTTGTGCTGCAGTGCAGGTAGTGCCATGTACGGAAGTGCTCCGGAATTGGGTTCGACTTGGGGTTTGCTACAGAGCCCTGCCGTCAACTTCGCATCCAGACTAGGCCAAGGTAGCTAGCTGCCTACGCTACACCGTTGGGCCAAACAGGAGGTGAGTGCCATGCAATACGTGGTCCATATAGTCGCTTGCGCGTGCACCCGTGCTCGAACGCACGAATGTGAACGTGCGCGTGTCAAGTCTGGGCATGTCAGGACAATGCAGGACGTCCAGCTATCGTAGAACACGCTGGAAGCACTCTGAAATGTAATGAGATTGTGGGTTATTGCTTGTTATTGCTACTTTTCAGTTGGAAATTGGAAATATGTATTGTGGAGAGCAGGAGCTAGTTTGTGTGGCAAACCCCAAGTCGCCAATGGCGCGGTGCAAAGCCTGGAGACCACCTGCCGGGGGTGGCGGTGCAGGGCATTGCGAGAAATGCCACGAGTTTGCTGAAGACTGGATTGGAGGGTCTATAGGAGGGTTATGTAGAATCCTCTACTCTAGGGCTTCCTTGTCTTTGCGTTCCATCTTGGGTGCTCCTTGTTCTCGGTATATCGAGATCTTTCCGCTTCGAGTTTCTGTGGATGGGTGAACCTCAGGTATCGGCGTACAGAGAAGTGTCCCATCACCCCAGCATCCTGAGTTCGTCGTCACGGACGGCTCTGACGCAAAGTATGCCCCTCTCTACAGCGCTCTTGAAAAGGCCCTAAACATGCAGCTCACAGCAACTACGGATCCTTCCGCCTGCTGCCGCTGTCCCGAAGTGTTTTGTTCCGGGAACCACTGGGCCGGACGCTCCTCGCCGGGGCCCCACGCTCAGTTGATGACATGCGCTTTCACGGCTCCTTCTGAGATCTGAAATTCGGAAATCATGGGGGAAATGCGACTCCTTCAAATTTCTCAGGGTCAGTCGCTGAAGACACCGAGTTGTTTCATTTAGTCGTAGTTGTGTCCATCCAAAGTGGGTCCGACACCAGCATACAGTGGCGTTCGACACTGCTTCGATGCATCCAAGCGCGGGTTGATGGATGAATTCAGGGTAGGCGCAGCAAGCAAGTGTAAGCCTCAGAATAGCTCACTTGCTCGAAGCCCCAAGTCGCTTGAGTGACCCGGCAGATCAGAATCCGAGACATGTCGAGACATTGCCACTGTCAAGACGCAGGGAACGCAATCCAGGCCCTAAGAATCTATCTTGACCAGTGCCCGATTCCTGCGCCTTCGTCTTGCACCTTAGTCCCCTTAGTCTGGCACCTTCAAGGTGCTACCGTTGCGCCATCTGGGGCCACAATTATACGCTTCAAGGGCCCCGACAATACGCAGCAAGCCTCGTTAAGCCTTAAGCTTGACGCTGATGCTTTCAGGTCCCGAAATCATGGCGGCACCGGTAGGGCAGCTGGCTGTGGACGAATACGGCATCCTCGATGCAAGCTGTCATGTTCAGATGGGCGAGGGGGGGCGAGTTTGATTCATTTGGGGTAGCAATTTTCTGAACCAGAAGGTCCTGAGGGTGAAGGAGATGTCTTGGCTTTTCGCTCTCGATGGCGCAGGTTTCCCGAGCACCCTCAACCCAACTCCAAAAAGGCGCTGCTGCACTCTGAAGTCACTGAAGGCGCTTGATGCTAACTTGAGCACATTTCGGTGTTCGGGAGGCTCAGCATATCATACATTTCTCCCCCAAAAAGGAAGCTTGGAGGATGCTTCGAACGCTTTCAAGGTTGAAGGCTTCAGAGAGCCTTAGAAACTTTCGAATCCCTAGAGGCCTTAGGCACAGCCTTCCTTACAGTTCCCAATTTTTGTGGCCAGGGCTAGGAGGGCCCCCAAATTGCCCCCCGCTTTCGCCGAGGCAACCCCTTCATCATCCTTGAGGTGCCAAGGGATGTTGTGGTTTTTGAGTGGTGCTGAGTGGTGCTGAGTGGTACTTCGAGGTACTTGCGCTGTAGCCTGAAGCCGTTGGCAGTCCTCCTCAGTCATTGCTCGCGGTTCTCTGTTTTGACCGTGCCGCTCGGACCCAATACCCTTGCCTCCTCAACGCTCTGACCGCGAAAGGAGTGCTGAAACAGACGTCCGTGTGCTCGGCAGCTGCTTTGGCTCATGGGTCCGGGCGTAGTTGTGGCCCTGCTTTCGAGCATCGGCAGCTGGAGCTGGGAGCCCTAATTGTCTGTGCGCCGTGGTCTTTGTGGTTTGAGAAGCTCACTCACTGAATATCATAGCCAACGGAACTGCCTCGCCACCCTAGGGCTGAGCATCGTTCGTGGCTCGGGTTGTGTGTTGGAGCCGCCGCGACACCCTGATTTCACATTCCGCCGGACCAGGCGATGGAGGAAGAGGAAGAAGTGCCCATGGATGATGCTCCAGAGGAGGCACGGGGTCTTGGAGTGTGTTTCTGATTCAGAGTTCAGCCACAGAGCAATCCAAGATTTTATCAAACAGGCAACTGGGGATGGAAGTGCTACCCACTGCGGTGGCAAGAAGGGGTGGGAAAGGCTTTCAGCGTTCATGAGGCCTTCGCTCCCACAAGAGCACTATAGGCATCACGTGAAGCAACGCTCGAATGCGACAACCAGGTAGCCAGCAGCGGCGATGTCTGCAAAAGCTGTGTACTTTGTAAGTGCCCCCTTGAGCCAGGAGTTAAAGACCCGAAGCCCAAATGCGCTGTGCTTGCACCGTGTCTGGGCCGTAGGTAATGAACTTTAAGGCTTTCACGGCTAGCCCTTACTTCCGCATCCCGCAGCGCAGACCCATTTGCCCTTTGTCAGCCCCTGTCCTTGCAGGGGTTTGGGGAAGACCTGCCCGAAGAGCCGATGGAGCTGCCTTGCCGGCATTCCGCTGCGGGATGAGGTCTTCGGGAGTTGAAGAGAGGAGTTTTATGAGAGCAATGCGCCACTACTGGGTCTGACGTCATCCGTGAATTCTGCATTCCTTGCAGAACTCCTCCATGCACCGTTCAAGGAACGAAGAAGTTCTTCTTGATGGCACCGAGCTTCCTGCAGAGGGAGAGGAGGTAGCGTGGTGGTGCACTTTGCAGGGTTCAACAAACGGGGTTTCAGGTTGACTCTGTGAGCCCAGAATCAGCTTGGATGCTAAGATTGAACACTGCGACCTCACTTGTTGGCCAGCACGTTCGACGAAGCTGTGTAGAGGGAAGTTAGAGGACGGGAAAATTAAGAGCTCGGTAGACTTTAAACACGCAGCTCTCCGATCAAGCCGGTTATGCTCGTGCAGACTGTAGGGATAAAGGGCAGACCTGGGATACGGCACGTCACATCGTCGGAGTCCTGAACCTTTTTCAACAGTGCTCTGCGTGACTGTCACGCTACTGCTTCACCGCACTACAGTGTCACTACAGACTCCAAAGGCATTGCAATCCCATTCCAGTAGTGGCCAGGAGTTTCTGGAAGATGCCGCAGGCGATGCGGACGCAGAGCTCTTTGCAACTTCGCTGACAAGCTCGCGGCATGGGGCCTTTTTTGGGGTCCTGGGGTGCAGTTGGGGTGCTTGGAGGAGCAGGCTCGCGCATCCCACCGACGAGGTAATCCGGGGGCGATTGGGGTTTCTTATAGCGCAATCGGCAATCGACGATCCAGTGAGACAATAATGAAACAACTTATGCCGAACTACACACCTTTTAACAGGTCTTGTGTTTGCTCCTTGCAAAAACCCAAACCCTGAGTAGAAGAGGAGGCTTCTATTGCACACAGGGCGTCACGAGAAGGGAATCTGTGATAATCTGCGTTGCCCAGGAGGAGCCTCAATTAGATGAGGCGGTTGCATCGGAGGAGCTCTCATTGGATCCCAAGTCTGGGGGCTTTTGGCAGGGTCGGAGGGAGTATCTGCAGCTTTAGGACCTCAGTCGCATCCTTACAACTTGTTCATTTTTCAGGATGGCAGTCGCTTTGCGCGGCTGCATGTAGTCCTGCACTTTGCAGCCAGAGTCGAGAAACCCAAGTGATGCTCGAAGCCACAGCGGCCTGCGGCGTCTCGTGTGCGGCAGACCCCGGTTCATTTCCTGCACTCCAGCAACCACTGTTGTGGTGCATGGTCCACACCCTTGGCAAAGCCTTGACCATCCCAACAACATTTTGCCGTGAAAGTTTCCTTGCAGGAGATTCCGCAGTGGATAAAAGACGCTTTCAAGCCGCGCGGTCCCTTGGTTGAAGTGGCTTGACCGGCTTGACAACTTGGTCTTGGAGTTTAGTGACTGTGGCCAGCTTTCACCGTGCTAGACTGGTACATGTCCTGCAGGTTGCTAAGAGTGAAGGGTTGTCTATGATGCTGTTGTGTTCAATCTGCCCTGAACATAAACTCACCGGCGCATGTGCACCTTTTGCAGATAACGGCAGATTTGCCATCTCCCTCCGACAGATGCTGCAGACAGCCACTTGGCGGCACGTTCTCCTGAGACAGCACTGCCACCATCACAGCTAGTGCCAGACAGCAGTCGTTCTCTCAAACCAACTTGCGCCCGAACCAGCTCCTGGCCTAACCTGGATGTCCTGACTCTTGTCTTTTCATCGGATGAGAGCTTGAAGCCAGGCAGAGTGAGACTCCAATGGGACTTGAGGTCAGTGGGTGGCGGTGGGTGAAATTGACCATGGCGGCGCACCAAAAAGCCCCCAGCCCGAGGATGAAGATGCGCGGTACTTCTGCGCTGAGTTCGATCGCCGGATAGAGGAGGCCCCCACCCTTCTTAGTCTGTCTTTCTTGAGCCCTTTCGTATGGGCTGTATGTGATTTTTGTAGCCACAAAAGCCAGAAGCCGAAATCGGCATGTAGGATGTTGTGCGCAGGCCGCAAAGTGTAGTTCAGCCCGCGAGTGGTCTTCGGGGCAGCTGCTTCGCAGTGCTTCGCAGCGCTTTGCAGCAGCGCTTCGCAGCCAACCCTTGCTCTGCACCAGGCGGTGGCCAAGGCTGAAACACTGGTTCTGGAAGATGTCGACATCTCACAGACGCTTGTCGAATGTGTAGGATGTGGACTTTTTTGAACTTGTCTAAGCTTCCTGACTTTGCACGTTTCTGGTGGTCCCAAATTGCGATGCAAGAACTTCCGCTCTCTCCGGGGTCTGAGCTCCACCCTCAGAAGTGTGGCCCCTTACCGGAGGCCCCTTCCCGGAAGCCTGACACGAGGAATCCCATTCCGACCGAGCACTTAGAGACCATGTCCCTGAGCTGCGTTTAGCCAGATTAGATAGAAAATCGGACAATGTTAGATGCATCTGCAAAGTGAGCAAAAGACTAGATGAGCAAAGGTAGGCATGTCATGTGTGCGAAGGCAGAGGCTTGCATAGCCTTCAGTCGCCTTCTCAACCCGGAGCTCCCCGCCCAACAACGAAAGCTGGGCGGACCATACAACATCCTGTCGAGTAGGGCCACAAATCTGCCGAAGTGAAGACCTGTAGGTAGTAGTCTCAAGAAGCACTCTGCGGTGTTGTCAGAATCTGTCAGAATCCCTTGTCAGGTTTAGCAGCATGTCCTCGGAGAGTGTTCACGTCCAGCGCCTGCGAGCGTTCGGCATTGCCACCTTTGATGACACTGCCGCGATCTTGCTAGCTGGGTGGCTACAAGGCCAGGGCACTCTCCGGGCGACTGTGCAATCAAGCATCTTTTGTGTGTGCGTGGCATGTCCACCGCATTGAAGCCCTTCAAGTGGATGCGATCCCTTTCTGCTGACATTTGGGCATCGATTGCTAAACCCAGTCCCAATGGCCACTTGTTGGCAGAGCTGTTGCCCAGGAGTCACGGCCTCCAACGCCCCGCACGAGCTCCACCTCAGCAACATGCTGGCATTTGAAGGATTTCGTGAAAGAGCTTAATATGCGAGTGCATGCGATGAAGCACCAAAGATCAACATGGCACGGAGCCGGGTGGGACCTGTGGGACGTTACGGGATCTCAGACTTCGGGGCTGAGGAGGTCTGCGGAGGTCTGCGGAGGTCTGCGGAGGTCTGAGGCCTGCAAGCCGTGCAATCCGTGCAAGCTGCTCCAAAGCGTGGTGCTCCTGAGGTGACTGCGCGCTGACAGCGGTCGGTTTCCGGGCAATCCTGGCCCCTTGGGACAGAAAGTTTTCCCGTCGTTAAGGAGGGCTTCGCATCGCGGCTTCTTTCACAGAAAGGGCGGGAAGAGGCTCGGAGATGCGAAAGGCTCAATGAATTGTGCTTTGTTCTTTTTTTGGCGTCAGTTTGTGGCTCTTCCACTGCAAGTCATCCTGTGCAGAATGTTCAGTCAACCAGCTCTGAACCCTGACTCGCCAGACCCCGGAAATGCCACATCACAGGATGCCCTGACCGACAGTGTTGTTTTTCCAGCGCCGGACCCGCGCAACCCCGAACGTGGACAGCTGCCCCTCTACATGCGGGCGCCGTGGCTTGATGGGGGCCCGGCATCCCAAAAGGAAGCACGGGCCGGACCTTGATTAGCATGTCAGGCGGCTCTTTCGGCAAAGTGTCCGGGTTGGAGGTTCGGGGTTGTCCTTGCTCAAGTCAAGGTTCATCGGGGTCTCTTCAAAACCTGCTGCAACCGGGAATTTCAAGTGTAAGAATATTCGCAGGCCGTGCTTCAGTAGATTTAGGGAAGTGGAAGCGATGGTTTTGATTGAGAGGATTTGCCTTCAGTTGTGGAATGTTGTGGGCAGCTTCAGGTGGAGGGCAACTACATCGACACTTCCGTCCTTCAGTCTGCAGTGGATGATGGTCTGGCCATCACCATGACCAAGACTGGCGGCCCCCGAGAAAGAATTTCAGCCTTTCAACTGGTCTTGAGGTCACCGGGTAGCAGGTTTTAGGAGAACGGAAACTCCGGTCGTCGACGTGACGGCGGCTCTCTGAGCACCAAGATGAACCTACACAGTTGCCTTAAGCTCCTTGTTACTGTTT